TTGTGCATGCTGTGTTCACTTGAGATCTCTCCTTTCTTGGCAAATGGTATTTTGGAGGTAGGAATGATATCTGGTGATAAAGAGGGAGTGAGGTCTTTTGTTTTGCCTGGGATCCTGGTAATATAAAATGACAGGTCACACAATTTTCTCTGTTTGGTTTGTCACTAGCTACTGAAGAATATACCTCCCCCAAAGAAAGAAATGAAGCTGTGCTTCCATCTCTGGAAAAAAAAAAAAACATTGAGAATGCATAGCTAAGGCAATAGGCCAGTGTATAAGCAGGCACGTTGAAGAGAAATCTCTGCTTAGCACCTGAAGCAAATTTAAAGCTTTTGGCAAAAGCAATCAGAAATAAAAGGCATATTTTTCAATTCTTTAGGAATATAATTTATTCCTTTCATACTCTCCACACCTTCTAAAACTGTTTCACACTGACCCACCAGGCATACTTTCTGCTGCCAATTTTACGCCATCAACCATTCATTGCAGTCTACACTTAATCAATGGGGAAATGCCAAAATTCGCACCCAACCAATGTCCCACTTCTTTTTTTAAACACATTCTTGTGTGAAGTATTTGTAACTTGGAAAACAATAACGAACTTTTGCAATGAGGGGGAAGATGCCAAACGTCCAAGATGCTATTCATCTCTTCAATTGAAAATCAGTTTTGAGACACTCATAGTGGCATGACAATACCACTGTTGGGAATGTTGGAAAGCATAGAAGCTGAGAAGTGGGATGAAGTAAGAGTTATTTCCCATGAAAAAGTACCCTGTGCTCAAGCACTATAGAGCGCTTGTGCTTCTGCTTGAAAATTGGATCCGAAGAAATTCCTGTTATATTGCAATTAAACCAGAAATATTTAAACAAATTAGCTCAACTGCCCAAGAGAGATGAAGGCATGGGATTCTATAAAGATCTGATTGGGGAGCAGCAAACATATCACGGCATACATAGGTGCCTTGAATTAACTTTGGAGTATATAAGGGATAGCATAATTTTACAAAGCCATCCATTGAGGTAGTAGAGGTTGAAGAAAGCAATGTCAAGTCATAAGTTCATCCCTATGTATGTGTGTCATTAACATCTCAGGCACATATGAAAGCAGTGGGCCTTGCATCTGGACAGTACAATTCTGCTTTGTTATCTGTACAAAAGCAGTTTAATAGATTTTTGTTTTGGTCTCTTTATCTTTCATGCTGATGAAGTACAAGAACAATTACAACATGTATTTCTCCTACTGTGGAATGATAATGATCTTCAGGCAAAATATATCCAGATGACTCTTATGGACTCTGCAAACTGCAAAGATGCTGACAAATCTCAACTCTGACGATCAACCTTCTCTACGTGAACCCAATTTTTAAGCAGTTCTTCTTAGAATTCTCTTCAAAATCTGGGTTTATGCCAGGACATCATGATTTAAAATATTTATAGACTATCTTTAAGAACAAAGTTCTCCCATAGAGATTAACATTGCAAAATCCTATAAAATCGTACAACAGCACTGATCATTATAAAATTCAATGTCCACAGATGTTCTGGCTGATCACAGTGATGGGAGAGGGGGTGTCTTGGTGTTAATCCTCTTGCTGCTGCAAGAGATGATGACATTCCCATTCCTAAGTAAAGATACTAGAATGTTGCACTGTATGCTGCAGTTAGAGAACTAGGATTTCTGAGTACAAATAGTGGTGTCATAAAAGCTGATGTGAGACGGTTCAGATGTTGTTGATTCATCACTGCTATTGCTGCCAAAATGCTCAATATTATATACAACAAGGTTTATAATGGGAGAAGATAGAAAACTTCACTTCTACATTACATCAACTAAGTTGAAAATTGGAGGGTTCTGCTATGGTCTGGGGATGAGTTGAAGACAGTATCATTAAGACATGTGCTTGAAAAATGGTTTGTGAGGCAACTTTGAATTGTATATGGGGGGAGGAGACATGTAGATGAGCAATGGCTCACACATTGAACCATATAACTTGGGCTCATTCAACACACCTAACTCCAAATCAGATATCTAGTTTGTTTTTCAGTATGTGACATAAACAGAGCCAGAGCCTCAGAATTTTCCTAAGCTTGAAAAGGCTTGAAAATGTGTTGTTGACAATTCCTATAAGATTCTTCTATATTGTTAATAGTTTTTAGTATTCCTATAGGCTTGTTCCAATTTCTCTACATCTTCCCAAAAAGGCAGTTTCAGGAACTGGATGCAGCATCTTAGTTGAGATCTGACTACTATATAGTTCTGCAAAATGAAGTGGAATTAATATTTTTCATGATATGCAAACCATGGTTGTATAACTGTGTCATAAAAGTTATATTAATCTTATTTGCCGCTTACACTGCTAAATTATTCTCAGCTGCCAACTGACTGTGATCCTTGTATTTTGTATTATTCATCTTATTTCTTTCTCCATGGCAGAATTATGTTTTGGTCTAATCATCTCCCATTCACTATACACAGCAGGTTTAATGTTACCCTTGCAAATTATGAATATAACAGCGTAACCTCTTTGTTACGCCTCTTTGTTACGCTTTACTGCACAGTATCTAAAAATGCATTATATACATTTTGCATCCTTCATTTGTTTTTAAATAATCAGAGGAACAAGAGCATGACAAAGAGAGACTTTTCCATTATCATTCCTCCACAACTTCTTTGCCAATCCAAACTAAAGAAATCTATGTCTAATTACTTGCAAAATCAGGATATGTATTCAAAGCCAAATATATGTTAAGAACAGACTAAGAATGTGTATTTAGATATGTACCCAAATGCACATTTCAGTAAAAGCAATGGAATAAGGAAAGATGCAATAGAAATCAGATGTGTATTTAGACTCACATTTAATTTACACAATGGCTTGTAAAATATTATAGTACATCCCTCCATATAGTCTATGTTCACGTAACACATTAATAAAAAAAAGGTTCACAAACATCTATCAACCTTCATATCCCTGCACAGTGGCTATCTGCACAGTGGCTACGAAGTCTGGTTTGTACAAACCAAAAATGGAGCCATTTCAGATTTAAAAGTACACCTCAAACCAGAAAACATTGTAACAGCTTTCTGCACTCCAAATCAGTTTTATTCAGCACTATTACAATAATTTAAAACCAGAAACACAGATACTAACAGATTACCTTGAAGCCTGAAAAACATTTTTGCATTTCTTTGCCAAAGAACTAGCCCAGGAATAAACAGGTCAGACAAAAAAAAAAAAAAACAACCCCAAAAATGGTATTGAGCTGGCATTGTTTTTCCATTGTAAATTTGATGCTGTTTCTGGAATTCTCCTGTTCATCACCATACTACATAAATTTGACTTTTCTTGTTCCTTTTTCCAGTCAGAGCTATAATAATAGTGCCCCATATTTATCACCAGATAGATGCCTGTGAAAGATGGGAAGAGGGTTGTCTTCCATTGACAAGAAAGAATCTATTGAAAACAAACAAAACAAGGGGCAAGGTAAAAATGCAGATACTGCTGCTTGAAAAGCATCAATGTCTTTGAAGATTAGCATAGGAGTTGTTGGCCTATTGAATTTTAACCTCTTTTGTGATGCTTTATACTCTATTCTTTTGTCTTCTCTTACCTCTTCTCCTTCTACCTTCCTTTCTCACAATAGCTACCTGTTCTCCTTGCTCTACCTCCATCCTATTTTCATTTTCCAATGGAAAATGTGTATTTGTACGTGAGTGGTTTTTACATATAGCACAGAATAGCTTAATATTCCATTTCCATCCTGAGGCAATTCAGAGTGATTCTTGAATAACTGGTATGCACAAATGTGGGATCATTTTAATTCGTAATTATTAATTCAACGTAAGTGCAGCTTTATCCTGGCCTAACCTTTTGTGGTTTTTTTGCATGTATATACACACACAAGAACAAAAAAGCGCTCACATTTTTGCTGAGCAGATAGACTCCTAGAATTAATTTCAGATTGGGTTGACAAGGAGAAAAAGCAAGGACACTGTATATTTTTACCTATCTTTTGCTTAATCTTCTTTTGAGGAGAATTATTTATTTTCCGATTTTTTTTTTTTTAATTTGAGGTAAAAACTGTATGAATCGCTGCTGATGAGCACAACCATAAAGTTCCTTATTTACCAGAGTCTGGCTTACCACACATTAACACTGCAATGTATGCACACATTCCTGGAAATCCTCTATATATAAACATCTGCAGCTGGATAATAATTTATGAAGCCTTACCAAAAGGCTGCGAACTGTAGAGTTCTCCAGAATTTATCAGATGTCCATTTTTATTTTATTTATTGCATGATCTCTTTTGCTAGAGTCACTTCAAAAGTTTCTGGGCTTTTACGTTCCTGTGGTTGGCCTTAATCAGTGCTACTCAAATCGTGAATTATTTCTCTTCATGAAATCAACACAACCGCCTCCCCCCTTTGTTGTTTTATTATGTTTCTAGGAGTGAAATATTTTTTTCCTGACCGGCCCCCCCCCCACCCCAAATGGTTTTTGTCTTTGTTGTTTTGGATCCCACAGGAGGTACCGGAACTCTAGAAGTGTGACTAGCGTAGTACAACCGTTGGACTTGAAGAGCTCAGGCCAGCAGAACACAAAAAACTCACACACAACAAAGAAGAAAAAAATCGCTACCCCACAATCGACAGCCAAGAGGGCGTGCAAAAGGGAACACTGTTCAAATGACTTTACACTCTTGAAACTGAGAGACCGCTAACCGAGCTGTTTTTTTTTTTTTTTTAATTATTATTTCAAAGATTCCCCTTTCGCTTTCAACTTTATTCCCCATCTCCACCCCGGTACGCCCCGAGGCAAAGAGGAGAGATTAGCTCCTCTTTGAAAAATAGTCCTTCTTTGTTCACCGACTATTCGACTGGTGGCAGAGACGATATCCTTCCGCGGGCGGGCTGCCTCTTCACCCGGCTCCTCTGCCGCGGAGGAAGAAGACGAACGCAGCGCTGATTCGTCGCGGCCCGACCGGCCGGAGGGATTGAACCGTTCGGAGAGGGAGGAGGAGGAGGAGGAGGGGCTGCTGCAGCCGCCGCCGACGTCGCCGAAGCGGCTCCTTTGTGTTTCCCACAATGCACCAGCTTCTCCTCCGCGGGAAAGCAAAATGGCGAAGGGTTGTTGTGGAGCCGGGCTGCCCGTGAGGCTGCCTCGGGCTTGAGCCCCCTTGTTCTCCTCCCTTCTCCCCTTCCCCCGCGCGTGTTTGCCCTTCGGAGGGCGGCCAGAAGCCCAGCCGAAAGGCGGCTTCTCGGGCAGAGCGCATCGAGCGCCATTGATTTCCCTGTATGAAGCGAGTGGCCCAACTGGAGAGACCGAATGAGGTGAGCGAGGAAGGTTTCAAGCGGTCGAGGGAGATCGGCGATCTATGGATCGCAGGGTCGGGAGCAAGAGGAAGGGAAACCGGTTCTCGCTTTCTCCCGTTTCCTGGCTTTTGGGGATCTCTCTTCCTCCCCCCCCCCCCGCCATCTATTGATTTTGAAAGGGAAGGAAAACATTACAACATTTCCGCTCTCCTGGTCCGTTTATGTTGCGGGAAGGGGGCCAAGAGAACGCAGCCTCCTGGGACATTTCGCCCCGCTGGCCGAGTTTTGTACAGGGAGGGAGATGTGGGGTACGGGGGGGGGGGTATCTCTTGCGCTGCAACATGAACCGTAGCTGGGGTTGGCTATATATAAATATATATATTTAGGGGGTGCGTCTGGGTGTCCTAGGCAAGCCAAACAAAGGCGAAAATCTTTCGCTAGTGTTTTCGGGAAATTGAGGAAGTTCTACATTGCCATAATTTCGGTCTGCAAATGGGACTCGAAATATCTTTTTTCGTTTTTGTTTCCAGGGCCGATAAAAAGAGGTCGTTCCAAAAGAAGGGGTTTGTAAATTTGTTGCTGTACTAATGCCAGTATACTAGTTCTCCTTATTTTATTTATTATTTACTTAACTGATAATTACCTTATTAATTTACTTGTACCTAATAATAAATAGGACCTAGGGTTAAAGATTTTTGCAGCACTGTTCTCTGAGACAGCATTTTGTATATTTTTCCCTTCAGATGGCTTCTCTTTTCTCCCCCCCCCTTGCTTTTGTGTTTTGCAACTGCTATATGTATGTATGTGTTTTCACAGTTTGTTTAACATAATTAATGAACTAACTTACTTTTTATATACATAATATACACAATATATTGGACTATGATCCATAAAGTGGGATAACACATCATTTTTGAACCATATTAAAAAAATTGACCAAAATTAAAACGAATCAAGCTTAGCACATTGTACAAAGACGATTGCTGCCTTTGTAACTGATCTGGTTAAATGTATTATGGGAAGAGGGTCTAGGAGTCAGAAAAAAAAGGGTTGGTAGTATGGATAAATGAAAAGGCAGCTTTGATCTTATACAGTGGGGGGTAAACAACCTGAGGCCACCTGCAGGCCCTGAGGCTTTCAGTACAGTCCCTAGCACGCTTTTGAAGTGTTCCTAAATAAATTAGAATTTTTAACTACATGGGGAATAACCATGGTAACTATATTTTTAAAATGTTAAATTGAATATTTTGCTTTCATCCTGGTCACTTGTGCTTTGTAGTATGGTCCTCAGCACTTCACATACACAAAAATCTTCTGTGGCTTTTGATCCTCCCAAAACTGCATTTCTCTAATGCAATGAGTGTTTTCAGCTTGCTTATACACTATCCTGGTATTTGAATAGAAGTATACTGTTAATGTCAACATTAACAACTACGATGATGTATTAGGATCCCTAGTTTGAATCATCCTACTTCTACCTAATTCTGTGATAGTCACATTTCCAAAGTAATATTATAAAGCTTATAAAAGATGCAAAAAAGACACAGCCTCTCCTCAGAGCAATTACTCTGTAATAAAAGAGTATAATATTTGATTATTCTTAGATTAAAAATGTTTAGGAAAGAGCATGATTTACTTGCAGGATGTGTGTGTTTGTATGTGTGTGTTGTGCTTATTATTCCATTTCCTATTTTTCTTGTTTCCTGGCAAAGCTGGCATGCCTTTTAACAAGATTGTTGTTGCTGTTAAAAGAGCTTGTTATCTTCGCTCTTGCTCCTTTCAGTATTTGTGGAGTGTTAGCCAAGTGACATCATTTTTCATATTAGGAAATTGCAGTTCTTACATTCACGACTATTTCTAGGCAGCCAAAATAGGTCTTGTAATTCCACTCAAAAAATGTGGATAGAAAGAACTGGAATTCCGCAAATAAATTACAATAAGCTTAACCAAAATTTTAATCAGTTGTTTAATTGGGACCGATCTTATGAGGAAATGGAATAGCTGGAAAGAGGAATCTAACTAAATAATTGAGACATACTGGTGTTATGTTAAAAGTGAATGAAATAATGTATGGCAGCCAGGTATAATTCTGTCATTGCTAACCACCCCACTTAATAAAGATATTGCTTCTGCTCCTGTTTAGCCTTGGCTAGTTGTCACCTGAGTGTTTATTCTATTTGTCATCTCTCTCTCTCTCTTTTTCTGTGTTTGCTTGCTCATTAAGATGAGTGTACAGCTTCAGACTTCCGTTATATTGAATGTGTTTTTGGGGGAAACAAGTTCAAAAAATTAACTTAGTCTGTTGTGCAACACCCCCCCCCCCAAATTATAGTTATAACATAGTTCAGTGTTCTGTACAAATCCAGGCAAGATTGAGCATTTTGTGCCAACATGGTCTATCCCAGATAATATCTCTAAAGATATACAAGCTTTTAATTATTTCAGTTTAATAGCCTGTTTTTATTTTTTATCTAATTGTATATGAATTGTTCTGTGGAATTTTAAAGTAAGCTTATGGAGTATATTTCCTGTGTTTCTTCCTCATTTTGGAAAAAGAATAGAACACTGAACTTGGCAATAATACTTTTGTTTGAATTCTTGCTTTCTGACCCTTCATCCACAGCAAAATTAAAAAGAATCAGGGCTATGTTTATTTCTCTTCATATCTTTGCAAATGCCTTAGTTATGATGTATTCCTTTCAGGGTTTGTACAAGGGCTCAATGAACCAAGTGAACATTTTGTTTGCATAGTGATAGGAATGATTATTGTGGGTTGAATACTGTGTTGCATGTAAAAATATGAAAAGTACTTACTAGTAACCAGTTGCTGCTAAATGATTTTACCTAATGTATGTTACAAAGGCAGGTTTTAGATAATAGCCAAAAGTGCTTTTTCTTTTAATGCAGTAAGATTGCCATGTGCAGGTTTTAATACATTTTGAAGTGTACTGAGACTATCTGAGAAAACCAAGATGTAAGCACATCTTTAGCAGATTAGATGAACAATGTAGAATAAGCAAGTCATAGATTTAATTGTTAGTTTGTAGAACTGTGGCATATTTCTTCTATGTATATTGAATTACAATAAATTTTCAATTAAAAAAATTACATACTGGCTTTGGCTTCATCTTCTTGTCTCAGATATGTCTGGAAGTTAAATATAAGTCTGACTCTCAGTTAAATTTGTTCTGGTTTGAACATTGGCTTTTAATGTTTTGGAAGTTGCTTGTGTTCATTATATATGTCTGTATTTTAGAGACTCTACGGGGGTGGGTAATTCAGTGGTCCATAAGCGGTCACCTTTGCACCGAAACCAAAAACCACCAATATCCTTGACCAAACTCTCCTCACGGGATGGACAAAAATCCAAAAAGCCAGTGTGCAAATTTGAAGAAGGTCAAGATGTCCTAGCTAGATGGTCAGATGGCTTGTTTTATCTTGGAACTATCAAAAAGGTAATCCATTTTTAATAAACCTTCTAGCTCACAACATCTTATGGCAAAACTACAAATTGGTATTATGGCTGCAAATTTATTTTATTTCAGATAAACAAACTTAAGCAGAGCTGCTTCGTTATATTTGAAGACAGTTCCAAGTCCTGGGTTCTCTGGAAGGACATACAAACAGGCAAGAACCTTATATCATGATGGTGATAATTTAATCTTTTGGTAACTGATGTAAAACATGGATTTACTATACTATTTCCAAACTCTTTCCAGTTGAGATTCTGAGTACAGCAGGCCTGAGAAAAGGGTTAATCATTCTTCAACTGTCACTTACCTATGGTGGTGATTTGCTAAAGAGGAAGGGGAGCCAGAAATGTAATTGCTCTGAGTAGAGATGAAAATTATAACGGAAGCAACAGACTGAATGCAGAATCTGTGTAGCTTCTATACAGCCCAAAGACAGATGAGTTGTTCACTTTATAGAATCTGTAGGTCTCTTTTTTAAAATAACTCTTAATCTCAAAAACACCAGTCAAACCCCAGCTGAATTCACACATTGTTCTAAGTCATGGTTCACAGAATGGCTGAGTTCACATATTATGCAAAACAAAACCCAAATCATATTATCTCAGGACTTGTAATTAATCCAGTAGTTTTCATATGTAGCAATTAATGTTCAAAATGTAAAATATATTCATTTAATATGAAGCCACACCTTTTTGTTCTTTTAGGAGCTACTGAAACGGGAGAAATGGTCTGTACAATATGTCAGGAGGAATATTCAGAAGCACCCAATGAAATGGTTATATGTGATAAGTGTGGTCAAGGTAATTTTAAAAAAAAAACAAGCATGTAGGCATTTTAAAAATGTATTAGTATATTGTGTGTAGAGATAGTCCTCAATTCGCAACTGTAATTGAGCGCAGTGATGGATAGAATGTGAAGGATGTGCTATATAATGTATGCTTTCACATGTGGATTTTACTTGCGTATAGTGTGCACTGTGGACAGCACTTAATTTTGTTGTGAGTTACACAGTGACAATAAAGATATTTCATTCTATTCTAATTAACAGTTGTAAGTTGTGGCAGTTGTTAAGCAGGTCACCAGCACTTGACTTTGCCCAGTTTCGCTACCTTCTTCACAGCAGTTAAGCAAATGCAGCGGTTGTTCAGCAAACCCATTGTGCCCAATGGGTGTTGTTTTTTTTGTTTTGCCACAATCTGGAAGTAAACACTGTTTTCTCACAAAATGTCAAATCGTCATGTGACCACAGGGTGCTGCAAACAGCCACAAACGTGGATCAGTTGCCAGGTGTGCCAAATACAATCACATGACCATGGTGGGTGGCCATTGGAACTTTGAAACTGGATTGTAGGTAGCTCTGGGGAAATCTGCCTACCTTCATATGGTTGCTAAGCGATTGGCCATAAGTCAAGGATTACTTGTAAACTTAAGTGGATAGGCATTTCGATTGAGGTTTATTACAGTTATACTATTCTCAGAGTCTGATACTGTGTTTTCTAGCATCATTTGACATTTAATTGAAAGTGTTTGGTTATGGGTTTTAATGTGTGACAGGAAGATGTAAATCTCTTTATATCCTCTTAAAGAGTATTTTTTTAAAAAAAAATTAGGTTATCATCAACTGTGTCATACACCAAATATCGGTTCTAATGTGATAGATTCAGATGATAAGTGGCTCTGCCGGCAGTGTGTCTTTGCAACAACAACGAAAGTAAGTTGATTACTTAAAAAAGTAATTGCAGTTGAAAATAGATTTTTTTTTATATGTTGTCGGATACTAACGTTTTCTGGTTTAATGCATTTTATTTTAGAGAGGTGGTGCGCTTAAGAAAGGACCAAATGCCAAAGCACTGCAAGTCATGAAGCAAACATTGCCTTACAATGTAGCTGACCTTGAATGGGATGCAGGCCATAAAACAAATGCCCAACAGTGTTATTGCTACTGTGGAGGTCCTGGAGAGTAAGCAGTTGACACATGCTTATGAAAATATATGTTCGATTTTTTTTCCTATTTTTTCTATTTGTTGAGAGTATGTGTGAGACCAAGTGTTATGTTTCATAAATATGCCATAAAACAGCTTTATTGAGCATATTCTAACATAGCATCAGGCTCTCAGAATACTTTTCTATTCTTGAGGTTTTGACATTTGTATGAAAAAGAATTAGTTGAACTGTGGTCTTGGACCAAGTTTCAGTGAATAAATTTGCAAGTTGATTGATTTAAGACGTGCTAAAGCATATCAGTGTTTGATTTTGGTTTAGCTTGTTGTATAAAATCTGCCTTTGTGTTATGTTTAATAAACCTGAAGTCTGCAAAATGCAGAAGTATCAGTGAATGCATAGTGGCCAGTTAAATCTTCAGGAGCAACTCTCATATAACTACTAGTAGTGTAGCTTTCATTTTATTTTATTTTTTTAAAGCAGCCAATTTAAGAAATGCTAACTGAGCGTAACCTGAAATAGGATGACACTCCATTTTGCTCTTAAGTTCATGGGTCAGAAAACTGCCCACCCGACAACTTTCTTGCCTGTAGTCTGGGAATTTTTATTTTTATATGACATAATACTGTCATATACTGTTACGTGTGTAAAATGATTTTTATGAGTTCTAAAATTCATAATCATGTAACTGCATGCAATGCTTTTCTGCTAGATTGGGTATTTATTGCATGACGATCTTTGTTTTTTCTTACCGTAAATGAAGCTGGTATTTGAAGATGCTGCAGTGCGGCAAATGTAAGCAATGGTTCCATGAGGCTTGTGTGCAGTGCCTGCAAAAGCCAATGCTGTATGGTGACAGGTAAGATGTTTTACCTTTGATCTTCTGTTGTGTGTTAGGTATCCCCTTTGGGAAGGGCAGTATTCAGTACTGTGTTCAAACATATATTCTCCATGGCTGTAACTGTGATATTTACATTGATGCATTAATAAATAAATAAATATGCTACTATTTCAGTGCATTGTTCTTTCTATTTATGGTCTTCCCTGAGTCAAGTTTTATCAAGGGGTAAAAACATTTTTTTTAAAACTGATAAGAACATGGACCCAGGTTTTTTGCTACTGTATTTGTTTGAAAGTGATCTTTTATTCAACACTTATTGATACATTTTAACTGTGAAAACTGTTTTTTGTAACCCTGAATACTTTGTAAAATGAATTGCTGTCAGTACAATTTAAAAGCACATACGTTCATGCACTTAATATGCCTTTTAAACTTTTTTTTTTGAAGGTTTTATACATTCATTTGTTCAGTTTGTAGTTCTGGACCAGAATACCTCAAACGTTTACCCTTGCAATGGTAAGTACAACCTAAATCAATCTTGGGCAGAAATATTCATCATCTCTGTAAATATAGTTTTGTGCTTCTCGTTATTTGAATGGACATTGCACAAGTAATTAAAAAGGTGGATGTATTACTTTTATGTCACCGTGTTTCTCCGAAAATAAGACCTATCCCAAAAATACGCCCTAGCTTGAAATTTGTGTCTATGCCTAATATAAACCCTACCCCCAAAATAAACCCTAGTTTTGGGGCGAGGCACACACGTAAAAATCAAGCGAGGGTGGGGGGGTGGAGCTGCCCCACACGCCTTACACCTGCTTACATTAGGATCACCTGTTGCGCTGCTGCCCGAGTTCTGTGGCCGCACTCCACATGGCACATTGCACCGTTGCTGCCGCTCGCAGTAGGAGGCTGCATGGCTCATCGTGCTGCTATTGCCACTTGCAGCAAGATGCGTGGCTCGTTGTGCCACTACCACCACTCGCAGAAGGCTGGTGCGAGCAGCTGCAGCAGTGCAACTGGCGCAATGAGCCACGCAACCTGGTGTGAGTGGCAGCAGTGCAGTGCACCACATGGTGTGTGGCCGCAAGCGGCCCCAGAACTCCAGCAGCAGCGCAACAGGTGTCGGGGTGTGGGAGGCCTGGCTGCGGTGTTCCTAAGGTAAGTGGTAAGACGTCCCCTGAAAACGAGACCTGGTGCCTATTTTGGAGGCAAAAAAAAATAAAAGACCTTATTTTATTTTCTCATTGTCCGGGGAAACACAGTATCCTCCTCCTTTGCAGTTTCAGTCGAGAAAGTGAAAAACAAAATATTCAGGAAGCAGGATTTTTAGCAAAATAGACATGCTGATTGTTGGCAGGCAATAGTTGTGCCTGTCATCTACAGAATGGGAGAACTCGTTGCGGCCGTCTCTCAGCCGTTGACTTGTTCCCACAGGACAACCTGCTGCAGGATAACTTAAGAGAGGAACAAGTAGAATTGCAGCTCACCCCAGCCTCAATGACTTCTAACTTGAGAAGGTTCAAACCTAAAGCAAGACAAGGCCCACTGCAATTCACTTGTCCCTCTCTTGAGGTATCCCATGTTGAATTGTCCTGTGGCAAGTCTGCCATAGTGAGACGGCCAGGATGAGTCGGCTGCAGCGAGTCAGTAGACGGCAGTTGTCCTAGACCAGGGGTCTTCAAACTTGGCCCTTTTATGATTTGTGGACTTCAACTCCCAAAATTCCTCAGCCAGTGTGCCTGGCTGAGGAATTCTGGGAGTTGAAGTCCACAAGTCATAAAAGGGCCAAGTTTGAAGACCCTTATTCTAGACACTATCATCTAGACAGTTAATGTTCTCATATGTAAAATGTTAAAACTTATTAATTATTATTTAAACTTCTGAATTCTAGGGTAGATATAGCACATCTATGCCTTTACAACCTAAGTGTTATTCATAAAAAGAAATATTTTGATTCAGAACTTGAACTCATGACATACATTAATGAAAATTGGGATCGACTCCACCCTGGTGAAGTAAGTTTTTGAAATATTTACATCCTTTATGTGTTTCTATAGTTCAAAAGATCAAACTATTCAAGTGCATAGAAATACTTTACTAATTGTTTAACGTATAGTACAGTTGTACTAGAAGTAAAGTTTGTTTTCCTGATTAATGCTGACTTTCTTGTGAATTATTGTTTTTGAGATTATTTGTTTTGAGTGTTTGCATTAAAAAAAGCTTAAGATTTGAAAGTTAAAGTCAGATGCAAAAGATCAGGTCCACACATGAAGGTCCAATTAAACATTTATTGCTACTTGTGCCGGTGCACAGGTCTGTTCTCAACTAATGCTTAACACCTGCCTGGCATTAGATAAAGATCAACAGAATTCAAGAGAGGTTAGATTTCATTTGCTTGCGGTCACATAGGGATTCTAGGCTGATCCCTCTTTTAACTGCCCCCCCAGGTTGTGCCACTTCTCCTACAGTTACACATAATCCACATACTTTGTCTGCCTTATGTGGTAATACATAAAGTGTGCTCTTGTGACTGATAGAAGTTTGAATTTCAAAGCAACTTTTAACTTTTTTAAATAGGTATTTTTTCAACGTTTATACACGTAATCCTTGACTTACAATCTGTTACTTCAAAGTTACGATGGATTTCCCCAGAACAATGTTATGATGCCATTTTGAAGTTCCAATGGCTATACCCCCAATCATGTGATCACATTTTGGGCGCTTGGAAACCAGCCTGCATTTGCAGCCATTTGCAGCATCCAGTGGTCATTTCCTCAACAAATTCTTCTATTAAAATATTTATTTTATCGGATACAGAATGCATATTGCTGACATTTTAACAAAGGAATAAGTATATATATTTTAATATTAAAACTATACCCATAGACAGAAGAGATATTTAGCAGTTCAAATAGATACAGAATAATTTATTCAATATCTTGTTCGTAGAATAATGAGGATAACTAAACTTCTGTTTTGCCTCTTATTTGTTAATATGTTACAGTACCGTAGGTATTTTGCCCTATCTGTTACATAAGAAATTCTAGAATCCTGCTGTAATTTATATTTTATATCTCTTTGTACTATTAAATATTAGTGCTTATGGGTATTACTGCATGTTTCAGTAGATTAAATTACTTCTTGATACTTTACAGCTGGCAGACACACCAAAATCTGAAAGATATGAACATGTTCTGGAGGCATTAAATGATTACAAGACCATGTAAGTTGATAAGGGTTTTATACAATTTTTTCTTTCATTTCCATTAGTTTAATCAGATAGTTTTTTGAAGTGTTATTTAAAAATACGCGTAGCTGCAACAGAATGTGTTATTGCATGTTTAAATGTTTAAGTCAGGTGTTTATTTCTGAGGTAGACGTTAAATGAAGGTTTACTTACGTTTTTCCCAAGGTTGGCCTTTGAGGAGTGCCATATGTTTGTTCATAAATGGATCTGTGCTTTCTCTTGATATCTGAAGAAATGTGTTTTGTCTTCATCTACTGCATTTAATATCTTGAAATGCAGGTTTATGTCTGGGAAGGAAATAAAGAAGAAAAAACATTTGTTCGGCTTAAGAATTCGTGTTCCTCCTTGCCCACCAAATGCTGCTTTTAAGGCTGAGAAAGAACCTGAGGGAACCTCTCATGAGTTCAAAATTAAAGGGAGAAAATCATCCAAGCCTATGCCTGATCAGAGGTAAATAGACTAGAATGGAATAAAATGACAGAAGCTGGAAGAGCTGTCTGTAGATTTTCCACAAAGACTAACTGGAAATAAGCATTCGCGAGTCAAGGGTTGCCCATGTCAGGCAAAGTTGAGCTTGTGCAGTTAGAATAGCATAAGGAAACAGTTTGTTCTAGTGGCTAAGGCACCAGGCTAGAAACCAGGAGTACTAGTCCTGCCTCAGCCATGAAAGCTGGCTGGGCGACTTTGGGCCAGTCGCGCTCTCTCAGCCCAACTGACCTACCTCACAGGATTGTTATTATGGAGAAAATAGCAGAAAGGATTATTATGTATGTCTGCCACCTAGAGCAGTGATGGCGAACCTTTTAGATACCGAGTGCCCAAACTGCAACCCAAAGCCTACTTATGTATCGTCGGGTGCCGGAGTGTGTAGTCCATTGGCTGAGTGTGGCCCATTGGGTGGGCGTGGCTGCGGTGGAAACGGCAGACTGGGTGGGACTAAAAAGTTCAATCAATCAATTCCAACTTTGCAAGATCTTTTTTTTCCCGCGAGAAGTTGAAATTGACTGATTGATTGAACCTTTTTTTTTTTTTTTTTTTGCACATGGCAGCGGAGGCCTGAAGCAAAAAAGTTTTATAAAACCCAGCTGAAGGCCTAGGACTGGGGCGATGGCATGTGTGCCCACAGAGAGGACTCTGAGTGCCGCCTCTGGCACCTGTGCCATAAGTTCGCCACCACTGACCTAGAGTTATAAAAAAAAGTAACAAAGGTGGGAAATAAATAAATACAAGATGTAATTCTAACAGCTATTTCTGCTTTGGTCCTTCTATACATTACCATAAAAGACTCAATCCAAGTAGGTACTACTTGGCAGTAGTACAAACCATACCGATATATTTACCCAGATCAGGTTAATATTTGCCAAGTACAAACTATGTGTGATCTTGTTAATATAGAATTGGTCAAGAGTTAAATGAGTTGTTTTATGTTGTTATTGTGCAGTAAACTCAAAACCTGTCTTTTGTGTTTTGAGCAAAATGGCTTGCTAAGCTCAGGTTAAAGCTTCGACTACCATCAGCAAATGGAAGGAGTGTGCTGCATAGCTGGCTATCTTCTATAAGATCATTGGCCTAGAAAATCAACTTCTTGTTGATATCTTGAGCTAGGACAGATATGGTAGAGAAACATCAATACCCCACATTACTTCGGTAGACAAGCACATCCCAGGGAGGATGAATGGAAGTGTTGTATTTTCTAGTATGAAGGAATGTGGTCTAATGAATTAAATTTCAAGCAGTTGTGATAATCTAATCCATTTTTTAAAATAATCTGCACAATTGATTCTTACAAATACGTGCACAGCACAAGAAGGTTGCCTATGAGCACCATCTTTTTCAGCATTTCTGTGTTACTTTGTTTGGGTGATGGTACCCGAATAATATATTGACGCTGCACTGATAGCACTTTTAGATTACCTGCACGGAAAGAACTGTTGCAAAACCTGCTGGTTCTCCTTAATTTCTTACCAATCTTTGATAAACATTGATTGCAGTATCTGTCTTAAACATCTCTGGAGATTCACAGTCAAGGTTACTGTGTTGTATTGGTTTTCCTCCTTCTTCTGGGGATGGTTCTGGCTGATGGGAGAAGGTTGAACTCAAACTCTTTTTCTGTGCTGCCATATGGCTCTCTTCTCTTTCTTCTCCTATTTAACAGGAAGCTGTTGAAAAAGTTTATTTGCCAGTATCGGGTTTAAGTATCACCAGTATATACAGGACCTAGCTGTATAGCTTGACCCTGGCTTAACAGGACAGGTAGTTAAGGTGCTATCTCAGTGCCTAAAAGCTGTGATCATCTTGATGGAGAAAGTCTCAGGGTCAGTCCCAGCAAATAGAGTGGATGTGAGCATGCAAAACTTCTGAGACTAATGGTACTTCATCTTTCATTCTAAGGAGGATTGTGATCTCCTGAGTTGAACTAGTTGATAATCTGGAGGTTATTTCAGACTCCCAGTTTCTGCTCAGTCTTTGTACCTTTCCATTTTATGCAACAGTTATGACCATTCCTGGAACATACACGTTGGTCACCTCTCAGTTGGATTAGTACTACTTAATTTACTTGGGGCTGTCCTTGAAGACCACTCAGAAATTAAACATGGTCCAGAATACAATGACTTTTTAAAGTGTCTTTTGACAAGTAACATTAGTACTGCATGAACCGTACGCTTTGCCAGTTGACTTCTAGTGCAGTTCAAGAAGCCAACTGGTAGTTGCTTTTAAAACATTACTTTGCTTAAAACTTAAATAATTTTCAGGACTTCTTTCTCACAGTAGTTATGGCTGTTCAATAAGATCTAGTAAGGGGAGCCCCCCTTTGTCTTCGAAGGAATACATGCCCTTTTTTATTACTTTGTTCCCTCTCCTTTGGAATAACACCACAGCCAGTCAGATCAATACTTTACGCATTTTAGGAAAGTCTTTAAGACCTGATTGGTACAATTTGGGGGGGATTAGTGGTATGGTAGATCACCTCTTTGCAGGTGGCAATTGGCACAATTCTGATGATTTTTCCTCTGTAATGACAGATTGGAAAGTTTTGTGGTTATAGTGGAGAAATAAAAATTGATAGTGGTTTTCTTTGCTGGTTCTAGTGGGGTTAGTTTAATTGATATCATGTTTTTATATTTCACTTCTTAGAGATCTATTTTTTGTAAACATTCAAAAGATAAAGCATTTCTAATACAACTGATAAAGGGAATTTCAGAAATCAAATTGTAAATAAATACAGACCAATATTACTATTTAAAACTAAAACTCTTTTCTAGGGAAGTTACTAATGGTGTAGAAAGAAAGGGGAAGAAAAAATCTGTAGGTCGTCCCCCTGGCCCATATACTAGAAAAATGATTCAAAGAATGTCTGAGCCATCTCTGTTGGTAAGTGGTATTCGGGTTTCCTTCTTTAATAACATAAGTATTATTTTATTATTTCCTTATTTAATAAAAATGAACGTGTTAAACTATCTTTTTAATGTTTACAGTTAAGAGAGTTGGATATCAGAATTCTGAAAAAAAAATCCTATCTTATTCCTTTAGGAAAAAGAACCTGTTATAGTGCCAGAATCCCCTGTTTTGGATTCTCCTAGCACTACCGGGTATGTATGGGAAATATTCATTCAGCTTTCTGGTCAAACAATCAAAGTAAATATTTCTCTCTCTGTGGGTTTGATGCAGATACCTACCTACCTACATAAATATATACATACATATACACATACATACATACTATACTCTGCATATGTGATGAAATGTAAGGTGGTTGCATTCTATTGTGATAAATAATGTTTTTTTCTTATAACCAAGTGAAAGTGAAGACTAAGAATTTGGAGAGTAATGTGATGAAAGAGACAACAAAATAAAAAAGGGAAAGGAGATGATCAGTATACAGAAAGCAGAAAAGAAATTAATGCCCTTTTGTAAAAAATATAAGCTCTCATTCTGTAAATAAACATGGAGTTTTGTACTTTGGAGTAGAAACAGATGCATATGATCTGTTCAGTCAGAACTGTATTTTAGTTCTGCAGACAGTCCTTTAGTAGCTGCCTTGTTTAATGACTATTTGCAGTTATGATGGTGATGGAAAAAATAACTGTACAATCAGGCCTCACATTTACGACCTTTGCAGGTTTGTAAAGCAAAGGAAAGCTGAAGTAAGATTGTAAGCACAGTTGTGGTTTCACTCAGAGGCTGCTTTGCTTAATGATCGTTTTGCTGGTTTCAGTTGTAGTTGCTAAATGAGGATTACCTGCATACAATTTTAACTCTTTAAAAACTGGCCTTAAATAAAAGATTGGATCATGATATCCTTCCCCATGCCTAATGAGGGAGGAGATAATTTCAGTTTAAGACCTTGCTTTCCATTTTGAGGTTCTGGCAATGAGATTTTAACCTGTATTTATCTCAAAAATAGAAAAAAAATATGCCATTTCTGACTGACTAAATATAGTACTGCCAAAATTTAATAATTTGTCTATTTGATTAATGTTAGGTTACGTGAAATTGTAATATCTATGTCAATTTTTATTGTATGACACCATGGCATCATTCAGAAGATCTGATGGAACTGCACACTCATCCAATACCTCAGATGTGGAATCCACAGGTGCCGCCAGTACAAAAGAAACTACCTCAAACAGTATTTCCAAGCATTACAGGTACAGTATTTCATGCATTACAAACACATACCTATAATACACGTATGGATTAGTAAGTCCTCAGCCAGCATAGCTGAGGAATTCTGGGAGCTGAAGTCCACAAGTCTTAAAGTTGTGGAGGTTGTAGACCCCGGATCTTTACCATCTTGAGCTGTTAACATAGGAGTATTTCATTTCAAGTATGACCTTTAAATATTTGAATAGTTTTAAATTTCTGCAGTATGTTGACTTACAATAACAAAAATTGTGTAGTGGGAATGTACTTCTGAACGATGTGTCTTGCGTGTTTAAATAAATTTAAACAAATTGCAGTCATTAGGTTCTTTATGATAAAATTGCCAGTGTTTTTCAGTAGCATCTCCTCCAAAAGTAAGAACGTGGAGAGTGGACATTATCCACAACAGTAGATTTAGTTAGAGCCTCTAATTTGTCAAAGATTTAGATTCCCCTCCTTTCTACTTCTTTCCAGGGAATTGATGTAGTAGCAGCGAATTATAACATTTTCTGCTGATAGAGATTTTACAAGCAGTTGCATTTATGAGATGCTCTGGAAGAAGATCTGTGTTTTTGGCAAGCTTACATGGAATCTGTTTTTCCTCATTTTAGAAATGCCTGACAAATTTAGGAGCAAAAATCAGTTTTAAAATGGACAAGTTAAATTAGTAAATAATGCATTGGTACACTCTGGCTTCTGGTAATGTGGCTGAATGTGTTATGTCTTAAGTAACGTTGTTTGCTGTGCAGTAGAATTATCTTAACAGAAAGCAAGAATCAAGTTAGCTCCTATCAGCTGTAGTGCAATTGTAAAACAAATGCTCCCCAAAAAATTACTCAGGGGTACATACAGTGTTGTAAAAGATAAAATATACATAAAATCTCCACATGAAATTTCACCAAAACCATACTACTAGTTTAAGTTCTGTCTCCATTTGATTCAGCATTAATTGAACTTTCCTTTGCTAACAGAGAAACCGTTAAGAGTACAGTACATTTTGTTGTGGTATTTACATATTCTGAATTTTTAAATTTAAATATTTTATGTGCTCTGCAGTTTATCTGATTCTAGAAAAAGGACGCGAACAGGAAGAACTTGGCCATCCACGATACCACACTTAAGGAGAAGAGGACGTCTTCCACGAAAAGCACTCCAGATTCAGAACCCAGAAATTGTAAAAGAGGATGAAGGCAAAGATGACTATCAATATGATGAACTTAATACAGAGATTCTGAATAATTTGGCAGATCAGGAATTGCAGCTTAATCATCTCAAGAACTCTATTACCAGTTACTTTGGTGCTGCAGGTAGGATAGCTTGTGGTGAAAAATACCGTGTTTTGGCCCGTCGGGTTACACTTGATGGAAAAGTTCAGTATCTTGTGGAATGGGAAGGCGCAACTGCTTCCTGACTGTAGTGCTGAATATTATTTCCTGCACTGCCCTTTATCTATTTATAGGCAGAGTTTATACATTGGAGTGCAGAAGGGAACCTAAAAGGATATTTGTAAAGATGAAAAACCAAGTTAGCCTTAACACTTCTTGAACGGAACAAATTTTTTTATCACGTAAGAGGCCTGTATTCTAAAAAAAAATAAGGCTAGATTCTTAATGTGTTTAAAATGAGGATCTAGACTGTTGGGTTGGGAATCTGGGATTTCATTTGCTTTAAAATATTCACAAGTCAAAAGAAGAAGAAGAAGAAGAAGCCTTGTCTCTAGTGTACATTCCATGGGTATGTCTTTTGTGAGTAGGGTCTATTTTCTGTAAGTAGGACGAATTTTGAATAAGATACTTGATCTTTTTCGTATCCAGAAGTTTGCAAAAGACTAATTTCTACTTTGACAACCCTAGATTTTTCATACGGTGCAGTGTATATACTTCCTGCTGAGGACTGTAAAATATTAAAATCTTTCAAGCAAAGTGTATAAAATATATATTGAGCTTGTAAATTGCTCTGTGACTGGACTTTGTTGTCTTTTTAATATATTCTTTGCATGTGTAATGTATACACATACGTGTGCATGTGTATATATGTGTGATTGTGACCTATGCAATATAAATTATGGGATTGGGCAGCTTTTGACTATATATCCCATAATGTCTTTTATCAGGAATAGTTGCAGTATTTACACAGCAGCATTTCTTCTCAGGCTACATTGGGTGCTGTTGTTTGCCACATAACGATAGAATATGTGTCAAATGAGTGCTGGGTGTTCTGGCAGTATGTGCAGTCATTAATGTCATAATGCTTTCAGAAAACAATTCAGGCTGCAGTTCTACACATGGGAGCCCAGTGTTTTGGAGTGCCTCTCAGGATCACATTACCCCTCTCCTGTGCAAATACCCACTCCTTTTGGAAAACTTTATATATTAGTTGCATCAGACCTAAAACCAAGGCTTATTACAGTTGCCCCTCCTTAAAATGGTTCTGAGTGAAGGGGGAGAGATTAAAAGTACATGCTTTAGTTTTTCTTGCTAAAGATACCTGGAAACAGTGCAGCTACACCAGTCTGGGTTTTTAAGATGGCAGTTCTCAGTCTTGGGGAACGCTAGCTGGTTGAGACACAGACTTTTAAAATTGGAGCGTGGGCTCTGTGTAAAAGAAGAATTCTGATAATTTGTGACATGTTGATTGTAAAATCATTTCCTTTCAAGTTACTAAAAAAACAAAAGTCAGCAGGACTCAGATTAAGATTCCTCTCGGGTGTGAATGATAAAGTGTAGTTGGAACAGAATTACACAGGGTTAAGTATGTTGCCATTTGAAGTAACAATACTGATTTTATTACAAAATTACCTCTTCTGTTATTACAAACGAATCAAATTTAAATGGGTAATTTTATTTTACTTGTAAAATAAGTTTGTTTTTGTTTTTGTTTTTTTACTGAGGTTAGGAGGATTTAGGTGGATAAAGTCGGCAACGACAGGTGGAATAAAATCCACAGGGACTCCTTTACCTTTATCTAAATGGATTTCTTTTACCTGAGCTTTTGATATATATTTTTCACCAAAGGATAAATATTTTATTTTGAAGCTTCATTTAATTAGAGAATGTCTATTTAGACATGAGATTGTCAACAAGATAAATTGTCACACAAAAGTTAAATAACAATCGGGAGGGAAAGTTTCTAATAAAATACTGCTCTGCTCTTATTTATATGATTTGGAAAACAAAAATACTGTTACGATTATCAAAGGAAAATATTTACCACCTTTTATATAGCCAAAGGAAGAATAGATAAAATGTGTTGCCCGGTGCTTGTGGTTTTTCAGACAATTTAGTTGAACAAAAGTAAAAATTAAAATTTACTTCCACTTGCCTTCACTAAAAATGTGGGTCTCTTCCATTTACTCAATCTCAGCTATTAAGTTGCCTTGACTATAGCTACAATATTTTCATAAGAACAGGTTACTTTTTAAATGTTGGTCTCTTGAAATAATGCAAAATGTAGTTTTCTTGTAACTCACAGACAGTTTTTAAATTTTGTTTTCTGCAATTTTTGTAATTCACATTGAACACCAGCAGTATTTGCAGTAGGGCTTCCATGCAAGATCACTATTGGAATCTGGGAGGGGAGAGAATGTGATAAACTATCAGTTTAATTGTGAATGTGTGTTTTCATTTTGTCATGGTGGTTGACATGTTTGTATTGCTGGAACTGTTTTTCTAGAATTCAAATTCAACATTAAATGTGTGTATTTTTAAAAACCTGTTTCTAGTTGCATTTGTTAAGCATGCAAAAACAAAAGCTCAGCCCTTATTTAAGTTTTTTTAAAATAAATTCTGTGGATATTTTCAGTATATGATGGTAAAGCTAATCTTGTATGCAATTTTTTTTAGGACTGTACCAACAATATATATTTTATCATTCCCAGATTATTACTACTACTACTGCAGTCCTGTTGGGAGCGCCAAGGTGCTTCCAGATTGAAAAGATTGGATGATGACATCTGTTGCATGGAGGATGCCCAGTTGTTGGCTCCTTTCATACGCCCGTTAAGTTACCCACCAAACTGGTACCCATTTATCCACTTGCGGTTGCCCGCTTTCAAACTGCTGGGTCAGCAGAAGTGGTAGTATGTGATGGGAGTTCACCCGAGCCCATGGTAGCAGCAGGGTCTCAAATGTCAGCCTGTTGTCAGCCCAGCATCCTAACCTCCTGCGCCACTTTGCTCACCCCAAATTTATTGTAACAATGCTACTTCTTTTTATAGAATGGTGAAATGAAAACCCAGTGATAGATATTTTAAGACAGGATTTTTCAACCTTTTCACCCATTGTACCACTTTTAGGATATGGCAATATCCAAGTACCACCAGACGCCTAGCAAGGTGTCAAAAACTTGATGACCAAAAAAAAAAAAAAGTGATGAAGTATAGGTAATCCTCGACTTACAACAGTTTGCTTAGTGACTGTTCGAAGTTACAATGGCACTGAAAAAAGTGCCCCCCAAGCTACAGCCAAGCAAGACACCTGCCTGCCCACCTGGCAGCGCTCTTTCTCCTGTTCGAGGTTTTCATTGTTGTGGGCATTTCTGTTGAGGATTGGCAGCGGGGGTGGGTGGGGGGGGTGTTCGGTTTTTATTCCCTCCCATCTGCTGGGTGGTTGCAGCAGGTTTTGGTCACTTCACATGACCCTGGGACACTGTGACAGTCATAAATATGAATCAGTTGCCAAGCATCTGAATGTAAATCACAAGACTCTGGAGATCCTGCAACAGTCCAGCTGATCGGCGCTTCTTCTGGGCTCAGCAGAAGTGCCAGGATCAGCGCCGAGCTCCAGCTGGAGCCTGGCACTGATCCTGGCACTTCCACTGAGCCCTGACAGCCCTGCAGCTCCAGCCGTCTCTCACTCAGGCTTGTGTGGTGCTGCCACCGGTTCAGCTCATTCCCCTCCCACGCTACCACTTTTCTAGGATGGTCGCGTACCACCTGCCAGGTGCCAATGTACCACAGGTGGTACCCGTACTACTGGTTGAAAAGCCTTACCTTAGAAACAATTTTAGCTTGTTTAAATCTAGCTTGCTGGGTCTCTGAAATGGTTTATGGTAATGACCTTGGGAGACAAAATGAAGAGATGCAGTCAGGGAATGGTCAGGTAAAAGACAATTGAGACTGCAGCTGTAATATGGGCAAGGCAGGAGGCTCAGAAGAAACTCTTCCTAGTTTCTTGGACTGGAAAGGAAGACAGAGCGAGATGGATGTTCAGATTTGCAAGATTATGTTAATTTAAGTGTACAATAAAATAGAATTTACTCACCTGATATACCTTGAGAGGATGACAGTTTCATTATTTAAATAGGCTTAGGTTTTATGAGAGAGCCCATTCAGTTAAATATATTAATTTCAACAGAGGGAAAAAAAATGAAGACTTTTAATAATAAAATAGCATGGTTAGCTAATCTAAAGTCTTGTTATAAAGAAATACAGTAAGCGCAAATACAGTAATACACCAATTTCCTAAATATCCCTATGAGCCTTTGAGTTAGGTAGGACTGTTGGGCCCACCTTTTGGTGTCAAGAATGGTACCTTACGGTTAAGCCCAAATACAGGTAGTCCTCACTTACTAACTGCAATTGGGATTGGCAACTCTGTTGCTAAGCAACGTGGTCATAAAGTGAATTGCCCCTAACCATGCCTTATTTATGACAGTAGATCTGGCTGCGGTTGTTAAGTGCAGTATTTCATAACCATGACTAGCAAATTCCTCTTGGAAATTCCTGTTAAGACATTCTGCAGAGTATTTGTGGGACATACGCTGTCAGGCGTTAGCGTATCTAGGGCCAAGTTTTACTCTGCTTTTTTTGGGAGGGGTCTATGACAGTGATGGCGAACCTTTTAGAGACCAAGTGCCCAAAAACTGGCCCCGCCCCTGCTCTGCCCCCCAGCCCCTGCCCCGCCTGCCCACGGGACCACTCACTGCCTCCAGGGCCCACCGATCACCCAGGCAGCCCAGCAGCGCTATGGCAGCCACACCCTCTGCCCACGCCCTGCAGCATCAACTGCATGATGGGGTGTGAGGGCAGAGTCTTGTCTACGCTGCCTGGCTGCCATGTCCTTGGCTGCACTGCTCCGTGTGGGCCACGCTCGAGGGTGAGTCTCCTTCAGGGGGGCTGCTGGAGAGGAGGGGGTCACAGGGGGAGACAAGGCTGGGGCAACGGCACGTGTGCCCACAGAGAGGGCTCCGAGTGCCGCCTCTGGCACCCGTGCCATAGGTTCGCCACCACTGGTCTATGACAATACTGTATATTTTAATAAACTTTAAAAAGGTGCTGTACTTTACATAATAGCAAAAAATATTGTTATTGCATCAAAGTGTAAAGATCTCTGAAGGTTCCCTTCTGTTTTCCTCTGTCCTGTTCAATGTTAGAGGTTCTTATCTTGTTCTTGTAAGAGAGAACAAAAGAGCAGCACAGGTGGGGGAAGCACAAGAGAAAAGGCTAGGAAGGGGATTTTCCTAACATTCATACATTGCCTGGGGAAGAAGGTTCTGCAACCCAAGCACATAAATGGGAGAATCACAGAAATATAAAATACACGATTGATTTAATGTTCCTTTATTGGTTTTTCCCACAATCACTTTTGCGCCTCAATAAAAAACTATATTTTGTTTGCAGGAGGTTTGTTCCTGAGCACGGTTAAATTGTATCATACAAAACATGACAAAGTAAACTTATCAAAGCAACTCAGATAAGCAATGTTTATGGATTTTAAGGTTGTTGGTACATTAACATTGCGAAGGGCAGAGAGCAAGTTGTAGCTAAATACAGAGGTAGAAAGCTAGTCACAGCTTTGTTTTTGTACAAAATGTTATATAATACTTTTACCAGTGCTATAGCTATTGCAGCTATTTTTTTCTGAATTCCAAGACCATCGGAAATACCATGTTGGTTTCAACTGGAAGATTAATAATATGGAAATAAAATCCAACTTTCCTTACTTGCATATATGTTAATGGGTATATGTGATGCTTGCATTTTGTTCCTCAAATAATCGGTTCTACTATTTATTTGCTGCTAGTATTCCAAAGATGACAGTATGAAGTTTTTGTGAAATTTGCTATAGCAAATTTGGGCATAGGTGCTCGTGCTCACCAAAATGTAATTAATAGGTAAACCTGTTGTATGAATGAAAGATTAAATAGTAGAAATGTTCATGCTGCTTCTCATCAACTGATAAGCTTTTGTTTATGTAGAAGACAACCACTTAATTGTGAGACAATCTCACAGCATTCTAGAATGTTTCTCAACTCTTAATTAGTCCTCAGCTGTTTCAATTTACTGGGTAAATGAATGAGTGAATTAATTTATTAAACAAATTGCTATGGTTATATTGACCCTGTGAGTTCACCTTTTAACTATATATATATATATTATTTCAAAAGTTGTATGGCCTGTTACTCCATCATGAATTATAAGTTCAAGAATCATTTCAGTATCCAAATTGGTGGAATTACCGATACAGAGTTTGTGTCTTGCATTCAAATTAGCCCCGATACAGTTAGCAAAATCCTGATACACAAAACAATTTCGTGAGCAACATAAGTAATCCTTGACTTAAAGCTGTTTAGTGACCATAGATGTTATAGTGGCACTTTAAAAAGTGAATTATGACTGTTTTTCGCACTGAAGACTGTTGCAGCATCCCTATGGTCACGTGATCAAAATTCGGCTGCTTGGCAACTGACTCATACTTATGACGTTTGTAGTGTCCCAGGGTCATGTGATGACCTTTTGCAACTTTCTGACAAGCAAAGTCAATGGGGAAGCCAGATTCACTTAACAACAGTGTTTCTAACTTCACAACTGCAGCGATTCACTTAACAGCTGTGGCAAGAAAAGTTGTAAAGTGGGGCAAAATTCACTTAACTATCTCGCTTAGCAATAGACATTTTGGGCTCAATTGTCGTAAGTCGAGGACTACCTATACTTTGACTTGCTTTTGAGTTAAGATTTTTTTAGAATCATTCTTCCAATTTAGTTCACAAAGTTAAAAATAATTCTGTTGTGTTTTTAAAAGAATACACCTCACTTTTGGCCTATAACAAATGTTAGAAAGAACTTTAGGAAAACCAATTCAGCTAAACTGAAGAGTTATTTAAAAAGGCAACATGTCACACCATCCAATGAGGTTACTTGATATCTGCCTTTGCATGTATGCGTATATGTATAATACACAAACATACATACACAGAATAATGAAATCAAATTATCCTTTCCATTCTGCTACTAGTGAATCCCTTTTGTTATATTTCATGCTAAAACAGGAGTATTCTATACCCAATTCTTCAGGGACAAATTTGTACCAGAAATGGAAACAGAATACTTCTTAATCATTTCCCCGTAATCTACACCAAGGATCCCTAACCCTGGGGCCATGGACTGGTACCGCTCCATGGCTGATTAGGAACGGAGCCATGCAAATAGCGGGCAAGTGAGTGAAGCTTCATCTGTGCAGGATCTAGGTTGCGCACAAAACCACCCTTCTCCCGGTCCTTGGAAAAATTGCCTTCCACAAAACCAGTCCCTAGTGCCAGAAAGGTTGGAGACCGCTGATCTACAGTAATAATTGTAATTTTGTGAATGGACCAATATTTCAGTTCTTCCTGTGTTCAAAGAATTCAAGAGTACTATATGTCTGACAGCATTATAAAGTGAGAACATTGTAATGATGAAGATAGCCCTGTTTATGATTTTCTTAAAATGATAAATTTGCATAGAGAAATTTCCAAAAGTCAACTGATAAAACTATAATGACTCCTGATATCCAATATATATATTAAACCTGTGCACACTTTAAAAATGATTTTAGAAAGTGTTTCACATCTCAATACCATTTTGTTCTTTAAAGCAACACACCTTTTTTCAGACTTTCATGACAGTATGAAAAATGATTCCTCAAACTGTTGTGTGAGCAGCAATTTCCAGGATGCTAATAGTCCTAATGCACATTAATATTATGTTGATATTATATGAATTCAACACAGGTGTTATATCCAGGCACCCCAAAGTTATGAGGGGTCCTTGATGGTCTTTGACCTTGGTTGTTTTCTTGCAGACATTTTGTTATCCAAACTAGGTAACATCATCAGTGCTACTGGTAGTTACAGGCATGACTAGCACTGATGTTGTTACCTAATTTGGGTAATGAAACATCTGCAAGAAAACAACCAAGATCAGAGACCATCAAGACTTCTCATTTCAATCCTGACTACAAATATTCTCCTTTATTGGTATGCCAAAGTTAAAATTCTGCATAAAAAATTGAGAAGAAAAGTTTGTGTTTAATACATAATTGAGTATGGTATTTGAACAAATGTTTCTTTTAGGACTTATATTATATAGTTTTTATTTTATTACAAAGATTTTTATTCACTATACTGACTTCCTCATTTGGACCCAAGTAGTTGATACTACTGAACCAATACAACTTTGCTTTATAGACTTAGTACCTTGGATTTTATTCTACTTATTGAATATTAATGTCTGTGAACTGCTGGAATTTGGAAGAAGTGCCTTTCGAATATTCGTTTTGAAAATGTCTTAGTACAAATAAATCACAAGAAGCTTTACTTTAACAGACTATCTAATAGTATGCTTATTTTCAGCATATCTATTCGACTCAGGTCGTTAAATACTGAAAACAAATTTTTACAAGGTTATGAAACAATTTTTTTCCTTTTTAAAAAAAGTTAGCAAAAAGTATAGACATATAATTACAAATGTTAAAAATCTGACATTGCTCCAGTATCCTGTGCAAGACAAATGGCCTTGGAGACAGATTATGCACCAAGGTAGAGAAAAGCCACTTTGTTCATAATTTTTAAAAAAATCATATATGAAGATTATTAGCCATTCCAAACAGCTGAGAAGTAATAGCCATCTCTTTTTTCTTAAATCAGTGTATTGCAAACTCCCTTATTGCTTTAAATGAAAGTCTCCTGTGTTAAGTTCTAGTTTTCCTTTTATCTTCAAAAAGACTCTTCAGCATGTACACCTGAACAGCTGACACTACAATCATTACTGACAGGTTGACCATGGACCAGAAGTTTACCCTGTCGAAATTGCTTTCTTGTATGTTTCTATCACGAGCTTCAAATGCTTTGAGCAGGTTTTGAATCTGAATGCTTTTGCCAAGCCGAGCCTTCACACTGTTGACAGATTCCTAGTACAAACAAACAAACAAACACTAGTTTGAAAACCAAGTATTTTTAAAGAAAAAAAATTGAAGACAAGAAGTAGTCATCTGAAAATTACTACTAGTGTTGACACCGTGAGATCATGCTCCATGCCTTCTTTCCAGAGGCCATTGTTCCTAGCTCCAATGTTCTGGTCAAGAAATTTTTTATTCACATAGGCAGCTGAAAGGAATCTTCTGCTTTTCATATGTTATATACTACTAAAATATTGGAAGACCACAAATCATCCTCTTTCAGCCAGACTTGTTCAGCTAAAAATTCTTTTGATCTCAATGTTCTCTAAATATTTTTTTTCAATCTTAGCACTCTCAATACTGCTGATACTACAGTCTTTATATTTGTAAGTACAGGTAGTCCTCGTCTAATGACCATGATGGAGCTTAAAATTTAGGTGGCTAAGTGAGAAATTGGTTAAAAGTGAGTTTTGCCCCAATTTACGACCTTTCTTGCCACATTTGTTAAGTGAAACACTGCAGTTATTAACGTGGTTGTTAAGTGAATCTGGCTTCCCCATTGACTTTGCTCATCAGACGGTTGCAGAAGATAATCATATTAGCTCGGGACACTACAATTGTCATAAATATGAACCAGTTGTCAAACATCTGAATGTAAATCACCTGACCGTGGGGATGCTGCAAAATGGTCATCAGTCACTTTTCAGTGCCACTGTAACTTCGAACAGTCACTAAATGAACTGTTGTAAGTTGAAGACTACCTGCAAACTATTCCAGTGTTGATATTCCAAGCACATATACCCTTTTTATCTCATTCACTTTTCTTCCATCACAGAGGAAAAAAAACAGGAGTTTTCAAAACATTCTGAATTTGAACCATTTTGAATCCTAATAAAATGCCAATAACTATGTGTATGACATGAAGTAAGTGTTAAGGGACTCAAGAGGGATAGATGTGCAATAGCTGCCACATTTCCTTATTTTGGAATCCAATTCTGATTCAGTGAAAAAGAGAACAAACACATTTTAAGCACAAGTAGCTGTACATTCCACAAGGGATGGCTGTAACATACCAGAATGTCTTCTAACTTCATATCCAGAAGCTCAGTTCCAGTTGTGTATTTTTCCCAATCATCTTCATCTCCCATGTTATCTAAGATCAGTTCAAAGAAAATCATTTTCTCTGATAGGGTGCTAAACGTGTTGTCAAAGCAGAACATGTAATCACCTTCCTCTGTCTCCACTCTGTTAACATAAGACATTGCACTTTAATATACTGTATAGGCAGGTATATTACTATCAAGTCCCTTAATGACAGTATTCTGAAACTTTAAAATTATGCAGTGAATGTTACATCTTCTAAACTGCTGCAGCTCCCTGGGTCACTGTAGAAATTTGCAGGGATGCTGTGCGATATTTTAAATTACTGAGGAAAAGAGCAAAACTTAACATCTGTTGAATGTTGGCTTAATATTGCTGTTGCCCTCAAAAATTTCTCTTAAGCCCACGGTTTCCAAACTGTCATAACACAGCATACTGTGAAAGAATATAGAGGCACTAAAGACACTGTGAAGCAAAAAACTTTGCAAACTTCCAACCTAACATATTTCAGTTGCAGAAAGACAAGATTTTAAGTTAATTCTCTCTTTCCATAGTAGTTTTCTATACCTTGTTTCATATCTTTCAAAAAGATCTCTCCATCTTCTAGATGGTTTTTTTGAGGGGGAATGTACAGCAAGTATCCCTCACCTGTGAATTTTCTTCTACAAAACTCAGGATCTGCCAAGTGAGGCTTTTATCATTTTTAAACTTACGTGTGAACACCATCTGATTTTCTTTGTTCAAAAACTATGGTTTCATGTTTTGGCGATACTAGGTGAAAATCCACATCTAAACCGGCTCCATCTAGTACCTAAGAATGCAACAAAGATAGAAATTAAACCAGGGCTCATCAAGTTAAAAAATTGGCAAACGAGGTTTTTATAAACCTGTATTAAAATGAACAAAATGATATAACTTGGTGAACTGGACATGGAAGCTGTTGGGAACATCTAATTTGTATAGTAAGGGCGAACTGCAGATATAGTTGGTAATAGTATGTCAAAATATGTAATAGATTAGATAAACATGGCTCAAGATTTGTATGAAAACAGCATTTTTACTCTAGTATTTACTTGTTAGTCATGTTATGAAGAACAATCACAGCATTCTTTACAACCCCTCCCCCCCACACACAAAGATACTCATTCCATGGGTGGCAGCGTAGCATCTTCTTTGTTCCTATAACCCAAGTTATCTTGAGATGGTCAGCATATAAATTTTATACACAAACATAAATAAAAAAACTCCTTCCCAATAATGAGGTAATTTGAAACTAACTTTCTACTAACCTTGAATAGAATTGATCTACAAATTCATTTGTTTTGTCATTAATAAATCATGCTCCATAAAATACAGGGTAGCATACATAAGCAATAAGTAACAGTTAGTTCCTTACCACTGGTGAAGAAACTGCTCATATCCAATGTAGTAAAATTCTGGTTTAAACTATCTATTCATCTCAGTTAAGTTCGATTTAGGCTTATTTGGCTTTCACAATTTGAGTACGCTCCAGAATGATGTTATGTAGACTTGCCAGTTTTGAGCATCTAAAAACCAGTTTGGTCAAGCTGTGTCACTGATATTTAGCTAGTCTGTTTGCTCTGTAAAACAAACATGACCTATCACATTCCCTCAACCTAGACTGACCATCCCATGGACATGCAGGCGTCTCAGGTTCCTATTCCTAGCAAACATGGCCAATAGTCAAATTAGAAGAAATGATGGCATGCGTAACCTATTCATCTGGAATGTATACCAAGTTGGGGAAGGCTAGATTAGCCAGAGATGTGAATGCTTCCTGGTTTAAAGTTTTGATACTGCAAATTAATAAAGGCGAATAGGTTCCAAGCATCTGACTTGCTATTTTTATATTAAATCCAAGACAAAACTGAGAAACTGGCAAAATGATTGTCTTCACATGGTGGCCTTACGTCTCTGCAGTATTACTACAAGGTCTGTGCCTTGCCTTATCGCCATGTGAATCTGGGCACGGTGGCCAATACTTTACGTCACTTCTTTCCAGGGCCAAAAATAAATGTGCAGTGTAAGAGGAAAACCACAGATTTGAACTTTTTTCCAGGACAGTGCCTTTGAAGTGCATACTTCCCTCTTTAGCAAGGGTATTTCACTTTTGCGGGTTGAATCCAAAGTTTGCTTCTCTTGCCTTGCTGGATGTAACCACCGACTTTTGAAAACTCGGGCGCTGAACTTCAAGTTGGGGACACCAAGGCTCCTATAAACACACGAGCTGCCCCCCCCCCTTTTTTTTTGCTACCACGATTTTCACAGACTCCAGGAAGGCGACGATTCCCGATCTTCCACCTTCCTTCCTCACCTGGTACTCAATCTCCAGCGTGGCCTCCTTCTTCATGGTCTGAAAGAAGCACTCCTTCCGTCCGGCGGGCAACGTGAAGGTGAAGTCGCTATCTAGAGAAGCAACAAACGCGAAAGCTCCAGGCGGTGGGGGAAGCAGCAGCAACAGCAGCGAGACTAAGACTAGCAAGCGCTGCCCGGTCGCCGTCCTCATCCTCAAAAGCTTCGCGAGCGGGGAAGTCCGAAAACCGCAAGCCGCAAAGCGCAACTCGCGCCACCTCAAACAGGGCTAGTCTCACGCGTGGGGACGTACAGGGTTAGGATGGGGGAAGGGTTAATAGAGAAAGAATACCCACAATACACAGCCTGAGGAGGCGGGTTGTGTTAAGAAAGATACGCCCTTTTTAAAACGTCGGTCGGTCTCTGAGGAGCTGCTTTAAAGGGCTGGGCTTTGCAAGGCACTGTGGGAAATGTAGTCAGCCGTGCGTTCAGATTAGAGCGGGGAGCGGAAAGAATGCGACCCGCAGAACTACCACTCCCGAGGGTGGCGAGGAGCCGAGACAACGAACCAGTAGACGGCGACCGCTTCCTTTAAAAGCGTCTTCTATTCGCGGACATTTTTTTTTCCCCTACTTCATCCCGCGCGTTTAGAACGAGTTGTTTCCCAGGGCCACGAATTGAAAAGCAAAAGTAAAGAGAGCTACGCTGACTCCTTATATATATATATATATATAAGAGAAAAAAAAACGGAGGGAGGGAGGGGGCTAAGGAAGAGATTTTCGTGGGAGCGCCAATTCGAGCCTATCGAAGTCGGATTGCTTTTGTGACGTTATTCCCAACTGTCGAGCTTGGGAGCTCTTTTTATATTTGGACCACTGTAATGCGGCTCTTTCGAGCTCATTGCGGACACGAGGAGTGCTCACTGTATTTGGCGGGGTGAGGGGGGCGGAGAAACTAGAGTTGCTAAGCAACGGAAAGCTGTGGCCTGCAACCCGCGCGGTCGAGGCGGGCTCAGAAGCTGCGAGAGAAAGAAGGTGGCGGCGGCGGCGGCGGCTCTGAGGGGGAGGAGGGAGCGATTTATTTATTTGTTTTATTTTCACTTTTTTTTTGAGCTGCCCATTTCCCTGAGAGTTATTCTTTTGGGGAACGGACCCGGAGCACTGAGAGAAAACATGAAATTACGTAGAGGTGAGGGAGGAATATTGAGAGTCGCAACCGCTTGCTGGTGGCGCGGAGAACGAATTTGAATTTCGGGAATAAAGATGCGGTGGCGAAGCACTTCTGAGGAAAAATCGCCGTGGTGATGCGATAGGAAGGAGAATGGGACCTGGTTCAGGCTGTGATTGTGTTAGAATTGAGCTAGAGCCGTGTTTCTTAAGGCTTTTTTTCTTTCTCACGACCCTTTCTCTCTTTAAAAAATATGCAGGCTCTCCAAATAGCTTGTTTTTATGGTTTATATTTATCAGTATTTGCCATATTAGCAATTAAAATGGACACGTTCATAGACTATTTCTTGAGTCATGTAAAATATTAAGCCGATTAGCTATTAACAAAGTAATGGGGAAACCCCTATTTTTTAAAAAAAAAACAATAGGAAGAGTATCATGTTTTAAAATGCTTGCAAATATCCTCACTGTCTGGCAAATAATTTAGATCTCGAGGGCCTCTTGAAAGGGTCTTGGGGATCCCCAAGGATCTTAGGACCAGACATTTAAGGAATACTGAGCGTGAGGAATTAGTAACAAGGATCTCTTATCTTTGATATTTTTATGATGATTTTATTAGATTTTTAAAGTAGAAATATAAAAATTAAAACTAATAATGAAGATACAAAAGAATAAAGAGTGCAGAAAGAGAAAAATAATGTAAAAAGTGTTTCTGATTTTCTTTTACAACAGTTATGAGCATAATTTAAATTTACCTCTTAATCTAAGGTTACAGCTTTCATTTTTCCATTATCTACAATTTTTTTCTAATCATCAAACTGTATATCATAATTCCATTTTTTTTCTGTTTCATGCAGAAAGTCCAGAGGAGGTTCACAATCAGCATTAAATTAATCAGTGACTTTAATCAAAACTATCTATTTCGTCATCTCAGACAGGTGTATAACCTTTAACATCCACTCTTCCATTGTGGGTAATGTTGGATCTTTCCACAATTGTGCATATAAAAAGTCTTGCTGCGGCTACTGCGGCTACCATATATAAAAACAGAGTTTCATGAGGTTTTTTTCCACCTTTGGTCAATCTTGAAAGAAATACCTCTGATTTCAGTTGTATACAGATAGTCCTCAACTTACAACCATTCATTTAGTGACTGTTCAAAGTTATAATGGCACTGAAAAAAGTGATTTATGACCATTTTTCACACTTAACGATTGCTGCAGCCTCTCCGTGATCATGTGATCAAAATTCAGATGTTTGGCAACTGACTCATATTTATGACAGTTACAGTGTCGCAGGGTCATGTGGCCACCTTGGCGAACTTCTGCCAATCAAAGTCAATGGGGAAGCCAGATTCGCTTAACAAATATGTTACTAACTTAATAACTGCAGTGATTCACTTAATAAGGGTGGCAAGAAAGGTCATAAGATGAGTTGTAACCACTGTTTTGCTTAGCAACAAATTTTGGGCTCAGTTGTGATCCTAAGCTGAGGACAGCCTGTATGTTTTTAAAATCTTCTAAATAATGTATGCAGGGCTTTTTTTGTCATAACGCCCAGAACGGAGTTCCGGCACATTTTTTGGATGGAACCTTGTAGGGTAGGCAAGGCGGGTTGTATGATGTGTGTGAGTTCCGGCACCTTTTAATTTTTTTTACAAAAAAAGCACTGAATGTATGTATTTGAATTTAAAACTGTTTGGCTTTTTTACATGTCCACCAAGCGTGATAAAAAGTCCCTTGTTCACATTTTAGCATAAATTTGATGTACACCTATACATTTTAGACAATTTTTCCAGTGACAAATACCAACCATCTTTTTGTACAACTTCTCTTTAAGATTATAATAGGTGAATTTCAATCCTTTCATCCACATATTCTTGCATTGTTTCATTTGTATATCATAACCAAAAGTTTAGCCCATTTTATTATAAATTATTTCACTTTTTTTTGTTTCAAATTTTAACAAAAGTTTATTATTCATTTTAACAACATGTTTGTCAATTTGTATATAGACCTGAGAACAGGTTAATTCAGAATAAAGTTTAATAATGTTAACATATCATGTATAAGAGTGTGACATCAAAAGTATAAATGCATGTTAAAATGAGTGGTGTCTACCATTCAGAAAACCTAATCCAGTTAAAACTACTGTAACTCTAAAGAGCTTTCAAAGGAAAACGTGGTTTCAGTTATAAAAAAAGTTGTTCGATAATACTAGATAACAAAAACGATTATTTAAGTTGTCTTTCTAAATAAAGAGAACTTAATAAAACTGAATATGTACTGTACATATCAAACTATGAACTTAATTCTTCTAAAGAGCTGCCTCATCTAGGTTGAAATTGTCCTCTTGTATTTCCTTCAGTGGTCTAATCAGGAAATCTTTTCTGGATTAAAACTCAATTTAGCTCTAATCCAGTTCATCACTACCATGAGTCCCAGATTCAGTATATCAGCATCAAGTACCTTGATGATTCTCCTAATAAAAATTTCGAATGAACCCTGAAGAATACCATACATCTGTATTTATGCAATATTAATGTACTAATACAGTATGAAGGAGAGGAGTACAGCATTATAAACAGCATTATCTTTAAAACAATCTCCATGGTATTCAAATCAGTACAATATAGGCCCTATGTTGGTTGGGTTTCTGTTAACTAGAATATGTGAATTATGCACTCTTTGTATTTATGTAAGACTCTTTCTTCTATTTGTTACCTTATATTCATCATTGGGTGTCATTTAGCTTACAGTTTTCCTGTATATTAAAAATGACCATAAATTGAAGTTTGTTTCAAAATAACTAATTGTTTGATAGTTATTAATGTTAAGAAACAGTAGTATGAAAGTGGCTGAATGTATTTGTGCAGCTAGAGTTAACATCTTGCTTTCTGTAATGATATTTAAAAAGCAATTTTTCAAACAGTGAAAGGTGGTTATATTACTATTCTCTTTTTAGTTATTTGTTTCAGACAAATGAATATAAATGGAACCTAACTTATGGGATTCTAGTGATCAACAGGAACATGTGGAAGATTTACTTGCTAACATTGTAGCATTAAGAGGTCATCTAAAGAAAACAGAAAAAAATTTACAAGACTTGGGAGAACAGCTTTATAGGTATAACTGTAGCACTAAAGTTTAGTAACTGATATACTTATTTACATTGTTTATATCCTAACTTTGAGATCTTCTGTCAGAATTAGTGTAAAAAATTGAAGTAATGTGTTTCTTTTGTTTTTCCAGTAATAATTCACATAATTCTGAACTTGGCATTCATGACAGTGAGCTTGAAATTTTAACACTGGAAGATCTTGTTGATCCTTCTGAATTACAGAATAACACTGTGAGCAAAATGTCTTGGCATAACAGTGATTCTTCAAGGAAACCCAGGAGCAAAGTAATTATTTGAGAATTTGCTCATTTCTAGCAGTATCCCTATGTTAGTTTTGGTTTACCTCAAATCCTGATACTGTTGATCCTAAAAATTCAAAATGAATAACATTTGTGTTTATTATAAATGCTTTCTTTTGTAGTCATATTCACTGGCTTTTGATAAGAGCATGGAAGAGGAAAATGAACTACTAAGAGACAAACTGAATGTAGTCCGTGAAAACAATGCCTCATTAATTTCTCAGAACCACAAACTAATGAATGAAATTGAAACTATAAAGTTTGAACTGAACCAGGCAAGAGCACAAGTACGTGTATTACATGCTGTATTGTTAACTATACCCTATAATATTCTCCTTTATGTTGAACTGTAATGTGTAATGTTTTTATGTTAGTACTTAAGAATACTTAGCTGCAGTTTTTAGTATTACCTTGGCTCAGATTTGGAGGAGTGAATTTTAAAGTGGCATAATGATGTATCTTTACTGTATTAAAACCATTGTTCCATATTATATAAAGAAAAAGCTACTTGGTTTTACGGACTATAAAGCTTGAGAGATACCTTATTTCTTTCATACATTACATTTTAAGCATTCACAGCAATATTAGGTCACCAAAAATGTTACTTATGAATCAATCCTAACCTTGCAACATTTTTATAGCTGTGTTTTACGATATAATTCTCAATGTTTTAAACATAGCTTTAAGTGAAAAAGGCAAATATTCTTCATAGAATATTTTTATTTCTCTTGTGTTATTGATTAACTTAAAGTTTCATGCTATGTGCAGATTAAAAATATTGGAAATTGGTAAAGAAATAATTATATTGGTTATTGAAGTTAATTGTCTACTGGAAGTAGCAAAAATATAGATTAAAAAAAAGTTTGTAATCAAATGTGTGCAAATGATCTTTTAAAAAGAACAATAATGGATTCTTCCTTTTCCCCTTATTTTTCTAGATATCTTTCCTGGAATCTACTTTGGGTACACGTTCAGTCCATATTCCAATATTAGAAGAACAGTTAGCAAGCTTGGAAGCAGATGTTCATGCTCAGGATAGTCTTCTAAAGTAATAATTGTTTAAATTAATTTTTCTAATTTGCAAGGTTGATTCATTCACTATTTTTCACTTGGAGCTTGGCTCACTAATTTCAGATTGAGATGAAAGTTTGTACACTGTATCAAGTTGGGATTTCCTTTCTGAAAATAAGATATGCTCTAGTCTAAGCTCTCCAATTCTGGGAATTCTTTATCTCTTGCTCTGAATGAGATTGCACTACCCCAAACAGAGCCAGAGCAAAATTAGGAGTCCTCCTAAACTTATAGCTCCTGTTTGAGAAACAGGTAGCAACTGTGACCAGGTCAGTCTTTGCAGAGCTTTGTGTGTGTGCCAATTGCACCCTTTCCTTGGATAGGAATCTCTGCTCACTGTCACTCATCCTTTGGTCATCTCCTGCATAGACTAGTGTCTATAGTCTATTGGATCTTGTTAATTAGCATTGCTGAGATATTTGTATTGTGTCTGTAGTGATGTGTTTGTCTGTTTGCTTGTTGTAATTTAAATTGCCAATTGTCTACTTATTTTCTATTTGGGAGGGGGGGTTGATGTTTTTAAATTATTATTGTTATTAGCTGCCAGAGTCTTTAGTTTGAAGTGCGTAGTGAGAAGGAAAAAAGGAAGGAGGGAAGGAAGGTCCCCTTCCTATCCTCTTAGAAAACTAGTTTGAATACAGATAGTTGTTGACTTATGATAGCAATTGGGATTTCCATTGGTAAATTATGTCATAAAGTGCAATACCATCACTTAGCAATGGCAATCTCTTTGACTCCTGGTCGTTGTCATTAAGCGAGTACCTTGAATGTTAGCAATGCAACTTCCTGCTGGCTTCCCATAATCAAAGTCAATGGTAAAGCCAATAGGAAGTTGCAAGTCCATGTCCACAGGTAGATGAGTGGGATAGAGTGAGGGTGTGCAGGGATGGGTAAGGAATGTACATGAGATCCACTGCATGGCATGGCAAGTGCCATGTGAGTGCACAAGAGGTGTGCAAAAGGCATGGGTCAGGGAGGGTGTGCAAAAGATACAAAGCAGGGAGAGTATGTGACAGGTATGGTGTGGTTAGTAAGTGCAACTATGCACACAAGAATTGTGTGAATTGGGGAGAGTGCAACATGGTGTGCAAGAGGCAAGTCACTGGCAGGATTGGGGAGAGTGCAGAAGGTGCCATTCAGTTGAGAAGGGTGCACAAAGGTATGTGACTGGCACCATGCAGGTCAAGGAGGGTGCCCGGGGATATGGGTGCGATGGGTGTGCAAGAGTGTGTGAGTGGGTGATGCAAGTGCAGAGGGACTTGGGAGAGGTGCATGAATGGGAGAACCTTAACCTAGTGGCTTCCCTGCTGGCTTCCCCATTGTCTTTTTGGGGAAGCTGGTAGGGAAGAAGACAAATAGCAATCATATGATTGTGAGGTACTTGACTCAATTATAAGCGTGAATGGGTTACTAAGCACCCAGATCAGTATCATGTGACTGCAGAGGTGCTGTGACTGACAGAACTCTGAGGACTAGTCATAGCCACTACTGTAACTTAGAACAGTTGCTGACCTAATTGTAGATCAAGGATAAATAATGTTCTGATCTTTAGTGCAGGAGTCCCCAACCCCTGGACCGTAGCCCATTACTGGACCTTGAGCCATTTGGAACCGGGCTGCGGAAGTGGCGAGTGAGCACACGGGCATCCCCACTTGTACAGGCAGAGGGCAAGGACATGTGCGCTCTCTCCATTTGCACGAGTGGCAGGCATATATGCCCACTGCTTGTATGGAACCAACCCTCTCCCCCCCCCGGGCCAAAAAGGTGGGGAACTCCGCTTCAGTATATTACTCTGGCCATTTATTTCAAATTTCTATACTGAAAATATGATTGGAGTAGGGGAGATGAGAATGCTTTCCAGCTGTTAATATTCATTAGCCAATATCTTTGCTATGTAAACTTACCATACTGTTTTAAAATCTATATTCTTAATTGTCTTTAGAGATACAGAAGATAAATTAGAGGAAAGCCAGAAAATGCTAATGGAAAAAGAATATGATTTGCAGAAATTAAAGGAGGATTATAGAATAATGAAGCATGATTTAATTGGACGGACCAAACAAGGGAAGAGGTGACAAAAATATTTTTTAAATACAGTAGCATTCAGCAAAAATCCAAATTCAGTAAAGGAAAGACCATCAAGGAAATTAACACCTGGGCAATTCCAGTCACTAGATGCACAGATGGAATAATGGACTGGACTCTACTTAAATTTACAATTATTATGACTGATGGGATCACTGGGTATTTTAATGAAATGGCTGCTGCTGAGTAACAATTTGGGGAAGGCCAAACTGATCTTTCTGCAGAGACATTGAAATAGTCCTTCTGTTTTCTCTCTCTTTTGTTTATAGCTGTTATTGACATGGAAATAAATGAGAGTATCTTACTTGTACAATTCTTTAGTTGGAGAGAAGAAATAATATCTGACATTTCCAATTTGCATAGGGTTTACTTTCAGAGTTAAATTTATTGGCTTAAAAATAGATGTAAAAAATTATCAGTCCATTTTACATTGTTGCTCTATTTTAGTGAATGAGCATATTCTGTGATATAACTACTCAACTTGAAGTTTGGTGCTGTGCTCTGAGCCACATTAGAAATTTACTTATTTATTGAATTTATATGCTGCTTATCTTGCTATTAAGCAACTTTGGGAGGTTTACAACATGTTCTTGCATCAATAGATTTGCTTATGAAGGAATATTTGACCAAAGCTAAATTTATTCTTAATTTCTCATGAAAAATATATAATTTTGATTCCTTGACGTTTTGAAGCTCTTTATGTAAACCTTTAAAAACTGAGGTATGTTTGAATGAAATCCAACAAATACGTATTATCTGTTGTTCAATTATTGCCCTTTTGTTGATGAACCATTATTTTATTTCACCTCTTTAAACTGAACAACTTTAAATTTCCATTTAAAGAACTGAACAGCAAAGAAATGAAGCTCTGTATAATGCTGAAGAGTTGACAAGAACATTTAAACAATACAAAGAGAAAATAACTAATAAATTGGAAAAGGTAAGAAAAGACTCCAAGATATTGATAATTTTAATAGAACATTTTATATACCCTGAAGCTATGAATTCAACTATTAGTTCTAAAACTAAAGTCACTACTGTTGTTTAATATGCTTTTGCCTGTACCATAATAGCAACTTAGCCAATAAAAAATCAGATTTACTCTATATCAGAAATATAACTCCTTGTTGTTAAAAGGTTTGGAGGATAGAGACAGAATATAATGCCAGTTTATAAGAATATCGAAGGATACAGATATACCCAAAAAAAGTCTATTTGTCCTAAATGAGCTCATAATTCAATAGACGTGCTTACGATTGTATTATTTTTATGTATTTGCTTCATTTTCATTCTACCTACTCACCAAACTCTAGGAAAATAATCCATCATAAAATAATACCTGCAAAGAAAGAAACAAAAATAACACAAATTACACGTAGTTCTCAAGTTACAATCATTTATTTAGCAACTGTTCAAAGTTACAATGGCACTGAAAAAAATGACTTATAACTGATCCTCCTACTTCCGACCGTTGCAGCATCCTAGCGATCACATGATCTAGGTGCTTGGCAGACTGATTTTATTATTTGGATAAATAGTGGGTTGATTGGTTCTAAATAATATATTACTTTTATTCAGGTCCAAGTTGAAGAACAAATTTTAGAAAAAAAATTAATGAACTGTGTAAATGAAAAGGAGAAGTTGCTCACACAATGTAATGCCTATAAAAGTGAGCTTGAAAACATAAAAGATCAATTGAGGTAAGGGTCAGTCTATGTTAGATTTTGGCATTTAAACAAACATAGAATTGCTTTTATGATCATGAGGTCTTCTGACATTTAATAATGATTAATAAAAATAGTTGTATGTCCCATTCAAGCCCTATAACTGGTAAGTAGCTACCTTTGTGCATATTTTGTGAAGTATATAGTTTTAATATTAAGGGTAACTTGATTCTTCATATTCTTGTGTATTGTTTTGTATTCCACAGAAGATTTAGATTTTAAAATACCGGTATTAGTGTTAGGTTATAATCAAATAGGTTGTGAGAGCCAGTAGGATGTAGTGGTTAAGACACTTGGTTAGAAATTGGGAGGCTGTAAATTCTAGTCCTGCTTTAGGCACAAAGCCAGCTGGGTGACCTTGAGCCAGTCAATCTCTTTTCGGGAAGCAGGCAGTGGCAAAACACTTCTGAAATCTTGACAAGAAAACTGCAGGGATTTGTCCGAGCAGTAACCAGAAGTTAAGACTGGCTTAAAGGGACACACAAATAGGTATATATTGCCCTGTCTGGTGGCAATAAATAGCTTAAGCCAAAAGCTTTTGAAAATGGAAAAATCACTGAACAATCTTTTATAATATAACATGCAATTGGTTTATTGCAAAGGTGGTCAAAGTTTGAGGGGAGTGAGATTTAAATCTTCCAATTTGAAACGCCATTTCTTACCCACTGGCAAATGCTTCCAATAATAAAATTGTTTCCAAACAGGTATATGGAGCTATTTTTTTCAGAGGCATGGGAGAAAGACTTGATGGATTATCTTTATTATTATAGACCTACCTTATTATTGAGTTTATTGGGGGGGGGCTCTATGTGTATCTAGAACCACAGGATGCCACTCTGTGGTTATTCATGGCAGGCCTTATGTAAAGTGACATCTATATTTTGGAATATCATCTTCCCTGAAATTTGTGAGGTATCCACTGTTACATCTAGGCATCTGTTGGAGATTAATCCCTTTTGTCAGGTCTTTTTTGCATGAAAGCTAGCTTAATATTTTTCCCCTTTTCCTTTTCTTTTCCTTTTTTCTTACTGTATATTTTTATATTTTTGTAATTCATACTTTTTATAGTGTATTTTGGTATAAAACGTGATATATAGGTAGCCCTCAGTTGCTTAAACAGATGTCCGAACAGGAGCTTTATGGCCCGCAAAGCACTTCTGACCATAAAATGTCATTCCAGCACGCACGCACACACACACACACACACACACACACACACACAGTAGTCATATGATTGTATTTTGGGTGCTTGGCAACTTGCTTGCCTTTGTGACTGGTTGCAGCATCCTGTGGTCACATGCCTGCAATTTGTGACTTTCAGAAGAAAGGGTTCACACAACCCCCATTCACTTAACGATTGGGGATTCGCTTAAAGACCACTACAAAAAATGTTGTGTCTGGGCATGTGAATGCCTCAACTTACAACTGGAATCCAGTCCTAATTGTTGTCATAGGTTGAGGACTAACTATAAAATATTTTGAATAATCATTTTGAAAAGGAAAAAAATTGACAGTTAAAATTCAGAACTACTGTATTTGCGATAGTTGGATGCCACAAATTAGATGCTGGAAATTGCCAACTCTTAACTTATTGTCCATACATTTTATGGTTCACAAAGGGATGTTATGTGCAAAACAGAGTCTTAATTTCAGTTTTTAGCTGTTAGGGATATTTCTATAAAACTCTACAGAAAACTGAAGTATATTGTTACTGTATTTTTCGAAGAATTATACTACTGTAAAAAAACAAATACATCCCTGGCCACCATTTAACCTCTTTTCTGGCAGTAGACAACACCGCACAATTTTCTCTGATGTTGCAAGTCCCAAAACATAAAACTGGTTAGCTTCTGAGAAAATACGGACTATTTAATTTTCTTTATCTTTTTAGATAAGTGAATAGACAGTTGCACAGCTTGATATTTAGAATCCACTTCCAAAATAAAATTGTGCATCAAACAATTATTGTTCAAAAATTCATGCTGAGAATAAGATAATCTTGAAGAACTATTTATTTTGTTTTGCATTTTAGACAACTAACTGAAGAGAACTGTATTGGAACACAAAACCTTAAAAGCATGGAAGCAAAACTGTCTGAAATGGAATTTTTGCTTAAACATACTCAGCAAAAGAATCAGATACTTGAAAATAAACTTCAAGAACAAAAAACAACACTTGAAGAAAAAAGTGCCATAATAAATGAAAATGAAGATTTAAAAGGACTAATTGTACAACAAAAAGATCAGCTTAACTTGTATTGTCAAGAAATTCAACGTTCAAAAATTGAATTGAAAACTTTAGAAAATGTTATTTTCCAGTTGACCCAAAGTTCATCAAAAGAGGTACAATGATTTCTCTGATATTTTTGAAGGATCTATTAACAGTGTGTCTCTCAGGGGACAGGTGTACTTGTGAGGTGGCTCCATTATTGTTAACGTCCCTCTATCATTTTCTTGCTTAGTTCTGCTTTTATAGTTTTTTATGTGTTTAATAATTATGTCGTGATTTTAAGAAATTGTTGTTTTATATCTACTTTTTAACTGGATTATTGTACATCACCCAGAATTATTTTTGGTGAGATGTGTGGCCATATAAAATTGAAAAATAAATAAATAAATGGTATCTATGAATGACTTCTCAATAATTGTAACAAATTTTGCTTTATATTTGTTTCTGTTTTTGCTCATTCTTTAGGCTAATCACTCTAATGAAATGTGCAGTAATTGGTCTGAAACAGATAGTCTTCTGAAAGAAGAGCTAAGGTATTTTAACTGTAACTTATTAAGGATCAAGTAAATTCATTATGAGTTATAAAAAAATAAATAAATTATCATACACTATTTTTCTTAGACAGAAAATTAACTTTCAAGAAGCAGGAATTCAGAAACTTCAGACAGAATATATGGCCTGTAAGCTAGGTCAAGTTTTCTCTGATGATGATGAGGGACAGAAATTGAATGGCCTAGAAATTGAACCAGTAAAACTCAGTGGAAATCAGACAGGTACGTATAATTGTTATATGACCTCAGTAGTAAGGCAGTGTATTTCTGCAAATTTAACAGAAAAAAATGTAAGTTGTTTCTAGAATACTAGTTAGTTGCTTCTCCAAAATACTCCATTTGAAAGTACAATAAATGGCAAGAATATCCATTATGCTTAAATCTGACTAGCACCACAGTAGTATAAAGCTAAACAGGTCCTAGGTTATGTAAAAATGGTAGGTCATGTTTATGCTTGATATGGCATTTACTGAAGTAATTTTTCTTCTTTGAGGCATTATGTTCTTTTGCATTGGGAAGGCAACTTTCTTGGGAAGTCAGAACCATGTTTTGTTAAGCTGTAGATAACCTCACAGCAAGAGATGAGTTAATTTTCAGCCCTTTTCTCAATTTTTACAAATGGTAATATGAGCTGAAGGCTTTGTGAAGCAAATTGTTTCTATGTTCACTCTTAATTTTGAGATACATGCCTCCCTTTCAGTCACGCTCCTTCAAATTGTTTTATTATGTTTTTGGCATGTTCTTGGAGGGCCACAGGTTGTCCACCTATAAGCTGCCTGATTTGTATGGCAGATTTGATTAACAATACAGCATTGTAATGTGATCAGAATAACAAACATTCGGGACCACACTGGGAAGGAAAATTTAGAGCAATTCACTTCACTTTTCTAGCAAAAACTTCTACCAGCATAAAATGGTCTTTTTGTTGCCATTAGAGCAGGCATGTCAAACTTGCAATGTCACATGATGTCTCGTGACTTTTTCCCCATTGCCGGCAATGGGGTGGGCGCGGTTTTGGCGTGACGCATCCGGCCCGTGGGCCAGCAGTTTGACATGCCTGCATTAGAGGGACAATGAGTCTGGATTTAAATCATGGTTTCATTGAGGTAAAGCGGAAATGGTTAACTTCCAATGTAACAAAAAAGTAATCAAAGAAACAAATAAGCTTGTTTGATGATAAACAAGTTTCAGAAGTAAAACACAGTGACCTTACTTCAGTAGGCAGAAAAACTGATCAAACGGTCTTATTTTGTACTTGGCACAAGTGAGTATTATTGTTGCAAATAAATGCATATTTGTTTACAGTGGTTCTCAACCTTTTTAATGCCGCGACCTCCAACCGGTCATAAGTTGAGGACTACTCAACTGGTGCAGCACCGTTTGCAGAATGGGACTTTTGGTGGGCTCAGCAGGGCAGAGACAGCCTGGACAATTCCTATTGGCTTTTGAAAGCCAATAGAATAAAAGGGAGTCTATTTTATTGGCTTTCAAAAGCCAATAGAATAAAAGGGAGTAGCACAGCTAAGGAAAACGGGGGGAAAAATGGTGGACTGCGTTGTTTGGCGACCCCTGTGAAATGGTCGTTCGACCCTAAATGGGGTCCCGGCCCACAGGTTGAGAACCACTGGTTTATGCATATGTGGTAAATAGAACATATCAAAATCAGCCTTCTAAGATTCAGTGAGAGAAGCTGACATTTTGAGATTTCTGCTCTTTGTGTATAGCAGTGCTTCTCAATTATTTTCTGTCATGCCCCCCTAGGAAGAAGAAAACATTTCGCGCCCCCCGCGCGACTGTAAATAGTATCATTTGTCTATATTTCCTCGTAAATAGTATCATTTGTCATATTTCCTCGTCTTAGCCTTCGGAAGACTTTCTTTTCTCTCCTTCTCTCTCCGCCTGTCTTCTCATCCCTGTTAAAAAATTTTTTTCTGTACAGAGGACCGATTTCCGGGTCTAAAAGTCACATGGGCGGGTTTGGCCAATCAGGATAGAGCATCATGTCTATCCAATCGGGTCCTTTGCATGTGTCACGTGCGTTGGCGGTCATGTCCTCCGCGTCGGGCTGCTACTGGGGCTGCGCTGGGACAATCTTCAGTGTTCGCGCCGCGCTGCTCCCTCTCTTCAGCTCTAGAGTTGCTAGGCAACCAATGCCGTGTGGGACGCCGCCTGCGAGTGAGTCGGATGATCCGATCTAGAAATCCAATATGACAGTATTTGCCGAGGTCAAACGAGCCCCCTTTACGGAGCCTCGCGCCCCCCCTGGGGGGCGCGCCCCACTATTTGAGAAGCACTGGTGTATAGTAAGAATTGAACCTTAAGCATTGAATTATTAATTAAACTAGGGTGAGTTCAGGATACCTTGTTCCTCCATAATACTTTCTCTCACAAAATTATCATTGAGGATAGGCAATGATCAAAGTCCAAATCCATTTCTTTTACCACAATACCTTCTAATTTTAGACCAAGTCTTGATCTTACCCTGGTTAATTCTCCACCTGTAGGAACTCATAGATTAGCTGCCTTTGTTCACTGGATTAGGGAAATGTAAAATGGTCAGTTAAAATGGCCAAAACTTTGGCTTTCATTGTGATCTGCACTACATATTGATACTTATTTTACATTAGACTTTCTATTAAAATTATTGTTTGGGGCGGGCCTGTAGTTTGAGAGCATGGAATGTGTGTGATAAGATATGGTTTACTTAGCCATGATTTATTGAACAAACCACAATTGATTGGGAGTACACATCTTTCTGAATTACAAACTATGGTTTAAAAGCAATGGTTGAGTTCATATAATGAGTTATCAATCTACTTTACACTTCAGCTTGATGTATAACTCTTTATACAAAAGAATTTCTGTGCTCAAAAAGCATTTTCATCAAAAAAGAAAATGGCTATTAAATCAGTTCAAATATGTATCTCTATTTAAATATATCTAAAACAGGATTTTCTCCTCCCCATTAGGCAAAGCAAAAAACTGGCCTCAGTAGCCAGTAGGGTTTAGATGACATAATTTAGGAAATATTTTACTTCTATGTTGCTGTACAGTTAGTCCTCAACTTACAACAGTTCATTTAGTGATCTTTCAAAGTTACAACGACACTGAAAAAAGAGCCTTACAACCATTTTTCACACACAATTATTGCAGCATCCCCATAGTCACATGATCAGAATTCAGACCCTTGGCAACTGAATCATATATATGACTTGCAGTGTCCCCAGATCATGTGATCACCTTTTGCAACTTTCTAACAACCAAAGTCAATGGGGAAGCCAGATTATCTGTATTTTTATTAACAGTTAAGAGAAGATTCTGCACCAAAATATTAAGTTTGATGCATGCATCTAAACTATTAATGTGGATCTAAAAATGGATTCTAACATTAACAATACTTAGGTAAAAATGCATAGCTTTAAATATTGTATGTTCTAAATTTTTATAAATATCTAAACATCATTGTCTAATTTTTAAAGGGACAAAGTGTGAACAACTGGAACTTATCAGTAAACAATTTGAAAAAGAGAAGCAAATATTAATTAAAAAATTAGAAGAATTACGTATTAAACTGGAAAAATCAGAAGAAGAAAATGCTGTTTTAAAAAATAACATTGCCCAGAGAACTAATCAGTTTCAAACAATACAGGAAGAGCTATTGGAGAAAGCTGCAAAATCATGTCGCTTGGAACGAGAAGTAAGTGAAAACAAAGAAGTTTGTTCTTGAAGGCTATTTGGTTTAATTTTATTTTTATATGGTGCCTAGGAAATTCCAAGAACATACATTAATTCATCTATAATAATATATTCTGGCTAGAATTTGCTTGTTGCATGAACACTAAGATAACCTTTCATTGTGGTTTCTTTTATAGTGATAAGTCATATTGGCTTAAGATCATTCTCACTACTGAAGCAATGAATAGTTAAGGCCTTTTGGGATAATTTCTCAATGTCTGAAGTATGCAATAGCCATTGTAATATAGACCCACAAGCCCAAAACTAATGTAACAGTATATTCTGTCATTATATGAAACAGCGGATACCTATGTACTTCTTGTCCCAGACATGACTGATATTACTGTTGATTTTAACAAAAAACAAAGATTCACCTTGCGGTATAAAATGGGCAGCCAGTAAATTTGATTAAAATAAAATAAATAAAAGGAGAAGTGACATAAGATTATAGGTAAATGGGGTGAATGTGAATGAGTTTATGCTTTGCAATTTAAGTATGTATATATATTCTTAATTACAGCTCATGTTATTTGCCGTCACTAATGCCCTAAACCAGAGGTCTTCAAACTTTGCCCTTTTATGACTTGTGGACTTCAACTCCCAGAATTCCTCAGTTAGGCATGCTGGCTGAGGAATTCTGGGAGTTGAAGTCCACAAGTCATAAAAGGGCAAAGTTTGAAGACCCCTGCCCTAAACCCAGGTGCAACCATCTGCAGTATATAGAAGTTACCATTATCTATATAATAAATATATAAAAGTATATCAACCCTTGTTCTTTTCAGTTTGTGTACATATTCTTTGTAGGTAGCAAGAAAATCCTCCCAGTTTTCCATCCTTGAAAAACAGTTGGAAGAAAAAACTTTTGCTTATGTAGCTGCGCTTGCAAGAAATACTGAATTGGAACAGGAATTAATGGTAACAGTCTTTTACTCTTTTTTCAATATTTTGTAGTAGAGTGAGATACATTAATCGTTAACATGATGTTAAACCAATTGTGCTAATACCCTTTGTTTTATTCAGAGCATGTTTCTAATATAATTTATAAAAATCAGAATTCTTTTTTATTTTGTATAAAATTGTGTATCTGAATTTTGCCTGTTAATTTTATAGCTAATTTTCTTACACAGTGAGATAATGGTTATCAAAATATCTATATAATTTTTCAACTAATTTTCAAATTGTAAAAAAAATGGTTTTTTTTCTAGGTAATGAACTCTCAGCTTCAAAGCATGGAAAGAAATATCATCGAAGAACAAGAACACTTCTCTGCAATGTTAGAAGAAACAAAGTTAATCAATCATGAGCAACAAAAGGAGATGGAAAGACAAATTGATTTAGTAAGTCTCAAGGTTGTATAATATGAATTACTGAAATTAAAATTTCAGTTCAGTTCCCAAATATTATGGTGGGGTCTTGCACTTAGAAAAGATATATCTCTGCCATATTCTATTTGGGGCTGACTGTAAACAGCTAACAGCATGGCCCTCTGAATTTACATAGGAGCTATTTCATGCAATAAGTTCTTTGTGGAGACAATAATGCATGGCTTTTTTTAAAAAAAAAATCATGCTACTGCAGATGTCAATTAAAAAATAGCTAATGTTCCAATTGATAGAGTATTGTACTATCAAGTGCTATTTTCCCCCATGAATTTCTTGCTACAAGGAACAGTTGCCATACTGTTCTATTGTGAGCAGGCAAACAGCAGCCATCTTTCAGGAATTGCATGTTATCTATTAAAAGACTAGAAAGAGTACGTTCACTCTTCTGAGTTACATTAATCTCACAATATGCATGAGAAAGAATTTGGATGTAATATAAATGTACAATTTGCCACCGGTACAGGTTAGCTTGAATTGTAGTTGCCACCTAGCAACTACAGTACTGTTATTCACTTTCCTCTTTCTTTTCAATTCCTGCATGTCTCTTAGGTCTCCAAAGTCAGGAAAAATAATTGGAATAACAATTCTAGCATTTGTTCCCTACATAAAGAACAGGGTAACAATGCAATTCTATCATATTGTATGTATTATTGTTTCTGGCTTTTAAATGCTGCTGTTGCTGTATTTATTTACTTATTAAATTTATGTGCTGCCCATCTCATCAGAAACAAATCTGGGTGGCTTACAAACATTAAAACTAATACACATTAGAATGATAAAACAATCAATAAAAATAAACACTGTTGAAGGTGGGAAGGAGTATTGATGATACTTCAACCCATGATGGTAGAAGAGCTCACCCAGCAGTTTCATGTAGATGTAAAAGAGGAATGGAGTACCAGTACACCAAAAAGGAGCAGCTGTGGGCTGGATCTCACTCCCTATCAATACCGATTGAGATCAGCTTTGTAGAAAGGAGCCAAACTAGCCCCAAACGCTGTAGACCAGGGGTGTCCAACTTGCAATGTCACAAGACATGTCATGACATATCACAACTTCTTTTCCATTGCCGACAATGGGGTGGGCGCGGTTTCGGCATGACACATCGGGCCCGCGGGCAAGCAGTTTGACACCCCTGCTGTAGACAGCCCAAAAGGATCCATGGTCAATGATATCAAAGGCTGCTAAGGCATCAAGGAAAGTCAGGATGTTTGCACTACCCCAGAGTGCTCTTGCCAGAGATCATCAAGTGCAGCCAATACTGTTCCATAACTGGGCCTAAGTCCAATTGGAAGGGGTCCAGATAATCTTTTTTACTTAGGATCCTTTGAAACTACTAAGCAATTACTTTCTCTACCATATTTCCTAAAAGGGGAAGTTTTGAAACTGGACAAAAATTGTCCAGATAGATGGGATCAAGAGATATTTTTTTTTAGGAAGGGACAAACCAGTGAGGAATGAATCAGTGCCTGAACCTCCCTGGCAATCCTCATCCTGGAGGCTTTTATCAACAAGGAGGGACAAGGATCTAATTGACAGGTAGTTGTAATGATAACATCGAGGACACTGTCCATTTCATTGGGTCCAACAGGATTGAGCTGTTCCCAGATAACTGGGTAAGACTTTTCTCCAGCATCTCACATCGACCAATACCACGCATGGTTTCCAACTGGGAACGAATCTGAGTGACTTTATCAGGTGTCGAATAAATTGAGCCCCACTGTCTCAGGAAGGACTGGGTGATTCTGAACAAGGTTGCTAGGAAACACTCTGTGGATGCAATAAGGGCTGAAAAATAATGATGGTTCGGGACTCTTACCACCGCAACATAGGCCTTAATGGCAGCTTTAAGTTGTGTCCGGAGTTATCTCTCGTCTTCCTCCAGCAGTGCTCTAGGCATCTGTTAATCCTTTTCAAAACTTTCAGGTCCTCCATAAACCACAAGGAGAGGCAGGCACAAAGGGTCAAGAGAAGCTCCTGTGATCCTGTCCAAAACGTCAGCTGCCCTTTGATTCCAGGACATTACTAGGTGCAGCAACACACCCCCCCAGATATCCCCCAGTTTAGATCCATAAATATTATAGCTTATACAAGAAACAGCACTGTTTGGAAGCTACAGCTGCAGGCTTTGAAATGTCAAAAACTGGTGAATAAATCACTGCAATGTTCTTTCCAATTGGGGGGAAAACACTGCTACAAAACAAGGCTGATGATGAAAGAATTGGAGTTCAGCAGTGAGTGAGATAATTGTGAACATATTTCTGCAGGTTTCTCAAAGTTCATTTAAAGCTCCCAGTAGGCCAGAGGTTATAGCAAATGCTCTGCTTTTTCAGTTCTCAACCTCTGTAACTCTGATTATTTCTTTCAGCAGTCTTAATCTTATTATATTGCTATGTATGTGTCTTTATTAAATATGAAAATCTATCTTTCAGATTGCTGTAAAATATTGGAGGGGCATTCTTGTAATATTGATGAATAGGGGAGGTATATGTGCGATATTGGATAAGTGAATTAAAAATCTTTATTTCTTATATAGCTTCAATCTGAACTAGAAACTAAAAACCAGCAATTTCTAGAACAAGAGAAAACAATGTCCATTTTCCAGCAGGATGTTTTATATAAACAGCATCATCTTGAATCATTGGATCGACTCTTAATAGAAAGCAAAGAGGTAGCATTTTTGAACAAAAACGGTTCTTGGGATTTGGGTTGGACTGCTTGAAAATTATTGTTTGCAAACTGTTCCCTTTTTAGCATCTGAAAAGCAATTTGAGAGTCACTGTTATTAGGAAGCTTTGCACTAACAATTTTCAGATGTAATCTCTAATTAAAAATTATAAAATAGCCGTATCAGAAAAGACCATATTTCTAAGTTTGATATAGTTACTGGTTCAATATGTTGGTTCAGGCTTTCGTGACTGGTATTTGTTGGGCAGTGTTGAGCTTCAGAGTTTGCTGACTGTGCTTTAGACAATAGATTTTCTGATGTTTTGCCAGCAACCATGGCTGATCAGCATTCCAAAATTGATCATTCAGAAGCTAGAATGGACAAAGAATCAGTCAGGATACAACACCACCAAAATGGCCAATCAGAATTGGGCATAAACAGAGACTAGCTCTCATCAACCTGCACCAACCTGCATCCAACTCATTTAAAGACCAATCTGTTCACCTGGCTATAAGGTTAGGCGCCCAATCAGTCCCTGCTCAATTGCCTGTGGTCTGCATAGCTAACTACCTTGCCTCTGAAGATGCCAGTCACAGTTGCCCATGAAATGTCAAGATATCTTTTGTCTAGGCCACAGTCACAATCCTGAAGTTCAACATTGCCCAACGGTCATTGGATTAGCTACATATATTGTTCATGTTTTATTTTATGAACTTGCACATATTTCAACAGATGGCAGAATCTTGCCAAATATATCTGGCATCAGAAGTTAAATACAGTTGTGCCTGATTAAGATTTGGATAGGAGATAAACAGGGAATGTCAGTGTATTGGCTACTTTGGAATGTTAAAATACATCCTGGAAAGAGGTCATGGCAACCCATCTCCATATAGTGTCAAAGAAAGCACAGCTATGTCCATGTAGCTGAGCTCAAATGATGTGCATTTTTGTAGTATCTTGATATGGCTAGATGAATTATGATTTCTTACTATCTTCATTCCCATTGCTTCCATCAAAAAATCTGAGATGCTATGGTCAAGCAAGCAGTATTTTATAGATAAACAGACCCTTTTCTATTACTTGAAACTTTCTTGTATTTATGAGCTGTTGGAACCCCCATATTCTAATGGCATAACTGTTTGGTTGGTGCTAGAGACACAGAGTTAAGAAATAGGAACATGAAATTAAATAGATGCCTAAAAGATAAAAACCTGAAAACAAAAGACTGGGGGGAGGGGGGAAATAATACAATTTTGTAAAATGGAAGAGAAGTCTAGAAAATGAATTTAATCCAAATGTCTTAAGATAGCATACCTGCAGATTTTTCTTTTACAGAAAAACAGGTGACAGTCAACTTGCTTGAGAATTTGTAACCATATGAGAAATATTATAGAAAAGTCCCAGTTTTTAATAACATCAAATATTCTGTTGATTCTGAAAAAAACAGGAAATGGAAAAACAAAAAATAAAAAAAGACGAAGCTTTAAAGAAATTACAAGGCCAATTTGCTGATGAAACAGTCAAGGTTTGTACAATTTTTGTGGTTTCTCAGAGCTTCAAGTAGCTTTCTATTCTGCTGTATTGCTTAAAGTCTCCCCTTATTTTTCATTTTCTTTCGAAAAGAAAAGTAGCAGAATGGTAGATGGATCCTCTGCAGTAATTTTATTTTTGGCTTAAATTAATGGGTAGCCTGTTTTAGTCTTTAAAGAAAACATCAATGAATGGATTATTTCCTTTAAATTTGTTATATTTATTAAACAACTATTACTATTGTTCAGATAACTTAATACTGCCTGTAGCACTTAATTTTTCAGGAATACCAAGGATTCCAGAATCAATAAAAAAAATCTCCCCTATCACCAAGGCTTACAAAAAGGAAACACAGAAGAAAAAAGAAAAGGGGCGAGGAAGCAAATAGTCATCATGTTAATGTATTTATAATAATCACCTGAGATGAAAACCATTCAAGGATAGCAAGAGCCAAATGTAGTTTGTTTCTCAGTGTTTGTTTCTTAGTGTGGCTAATAAACTAAACTTATATCTAAGCAGATAGTCTTTCTTCACTATTATATGTTTCCTTTTGTTTTATTAGGTCAAACAATTACAAAAAGCGTTAGAAAGCTGTAAGCAAGATATAGCTTTGTATTTAGATCATTTAGAAGAAGAAAAAGTGTTGTTTGAAAAGCAATTGGAGAAAAAGTCCGAAGAGGTAAACATGCTTTTTTCATCTTGTTCCTCCTCTTTCTATGTTATATTTGAGTCGATATACAAAAAATACTATTCTACTAGACAATAGAAAATGTAATTTCATTTTGTTAGCTACATTACTGGAAAGAAATGTGAAACTTCATTGAGTTTATAATACAACCAGACTTTAGTAGTCACTAAAGGCAAAGAACGTGTTGTTTGGTTATGTGGAAGTGACTCTGAAAATCAGTATCTATTCCTAATTATTTTAAGCTAAAGCATGTTTTCAAATATAGTCCATATTGTAGATTTTTATTTCCATTTATAATAGACTTTAATAAAAACCACAACTTGTTAGTAGCATAGATATATATTGATAAATATGTAAAAGTGAAATAGCAGGAAGCTGAAAAACTAATTGCCTTGTTGCAGTCTCATCTTATTTATTTTTCAGATCCAGAGGTTGCAAAAAGAAATAAAGCATAAGAATGACAGTCTTCAGTCAACTAGTGAGCAAAATCTTGCTCTACAGCAGAGTCTGCAGCAGCAGCAACAAATGTTACATCAAGAAACCATTAGGAATAGTGAATTAGATGACAGCCAAATAAAGCTCCAACAGCAGGTACATTATGATAAATATTTTAAAAATGTATGACAAGCGTTTGTATTGTCCATATTCTGTGTTTTCTGTTACCCAAACATATTTGGAATGAAACAATTTCATCTTATTTTGAAGCATTAACTTGAATTCAGAGTGTTCTTGTGGGTATGCCAAAGTTTAGCTGGAAGAATTGACTATTTTACCCTCAGAATACATCTTGAAAGAAATTTGCTCTATGGCTAGGATCCCAGGATGGTTTGAGGCAAAGCAAGGTCTAAGCCTCCAGCATTTTTTTTATACAAAATAAAAATGGCAATTTTAATTGTAAGCTGCTTATTGTTTTTAAGTGTATCTGCCTACCACAGAAGAAAAAATAAATTTGGGCAAGGAAAGAATCTTTATCATTTTGCCTTTTGATGAATTGTTCTTTTGTTGCTGGTGTTACTAAAACACTTTACAAATACAAGTTGTGCAAAATATTGTGATATTGAAATGTCCCAACTCTGACACTACTGGAAATCATCCAGTGTGAAAAGGCTTGGTCCAATCTTACAGAAATATTCCAGTCTGAAATAAGCATTTGACTGCAAAATGACGGTTGGAATAGATAGTTTCAAGGTCAGCACAAAACATTTTACAGCTAGGACTTTTTGACAGTAAAAAATTCCTATCTCCAAACTTCCAAGTTGCCCCTTGCTCCAAAAAAACTAGGAACCCTCCTCCACTGTAAGAATGTTACTGTTTGAAGAACACAATTTCAAAGTAGTAATGGCTATTGATAAATAAATTGAAGATCCATAGTATTTTTGTGGACAAAAATATGGATGCTTTTACAGATGTAGGAACTTGGTTCAGGCTTATAAATTTATTTATCTAATGTTTAGTCTAGTGGTTAAAGCACCAGGGATTGTCAGTTCTAGTCCCATCTTACACATGAAACATCTGGGTGACTTTGGGCCAGTCACTCTCTCAGCCGAACCCATCTCACAGGGTTTTTGTTGAGGGGGGGAAAAGGAAGAAAAAGATGCGTTGCATACATTCACTTCCTGGAATTATTTGTAAAAATAATAAAGATGGGATAAAAATAAATAAAATAAATAATAAAAAATAGTAATGTTTTTCTTGCTTTCTGAAAAATGATAATTGTTATATATATGCAGTGTCCTGTTTTTGTAGCTATAGCAAAAAACTTTATGATTGATTAATCAGATGTAAGAATTCAGTGTTAATTAGAGCATATTGTTTAATAAACTCCCACACTCAATTGGTTTTAATGAGGCCTGATTTTCTTTGAATTGTGATTATTATAAGCAAATTAATTTAACTTTTTTTAATGCCCTTCAACTTGTTGGAAATTTTCTTGGACTACAAATGCTAATTCACAGTCCCAAACTATAATTCCAAATCAATCTTTTTAAATGCAATAGAAGTTCTCTGGAGTTGCTCCTTTCTCATATTTTTTTTTAAATGTTATGACTTATCACTCTTTTAAAGGCAGACTTAAATGTACAAAGTTTATATATCTGAACTCCAAATTCTATTTAAAGCAGAAACATTTATATTTGAATTTTGTGTTTCTTCAAAACAATAATTTTCAGAAGTGAGAAACTGTATCTGTTAGGTAAGAAGCAATGAAAAACCTTTATAAAGAGTATTCATGCCGTATTAATTTCTTAGTACTATACACTTATTAACATTATAAACTTTTGAGATACCCCAAAATGTGTATATGTATGCTTAATATGAACAAACATGAAAACAATTGATTTGGGTAGATAGTCTACTGAATCCATAGAAGAGACTTCTAAATGTTTGAATGCAGTCTGAACATTCTTGTGAGATCTGTTTCAACTCAGTAGTCCTTCTAACTTTTGCAGGCATAAACTCTAATTGTGCATTGGGAGTATTATGCATGGCATATTAAGAGCACATTACTAAATGATTGCATTGAGATATGCTACCAAATTGTTTAGAATTGCAGTATGAATCTCTGTCTCTCAAAAAACAGGTATCAAAACTAGAGCAAGCGCTTCAAAAGCAGAAAGATATGTTGGAAGAAGAATTGAGAAGAACAAATGAAAGGCTTCATTTAGCCACTGAAGAAAACAATGTGAAACGGCAAAAAATAGGAGAACTTACTGCTACAATCAGGCATAGTCCTATTTTTTTAAGTTTAAAAACTTATTTGGAACAACATCTATCGGCTGTGGCCAGGGGGACTTTTGCCCAGGTTCGCCTGGTGCACCAGTTGCGGCCTTATTTGGACTGGGAGGCTCTACTCATGGTTACTCATGCCCTTGTCACCTCAAGACTGGATTACTGTAATGCGCTCTACATGGGGCTACTCTTGAAGAGAGTTCGGAGGCTGCAGTTGGTTCAGAATGCAGCCGCGAGAGCGATTGTGGGTGCACCAAGGTACACCCACATGTCACCTATCCTCCGCGAGCTGCACTGGCTTCCTGTGAGTCTCCGGACGCAATTCAAGGTGTTGGTTGTCACCTTTAAAGCCCTTCATGGCTTAGGACCAGGTTACTTACAGGACCGCATACTGCCGCATAGTTTCCAGAGACCGGTAAGGTCCCACAGATTGGGCCTCCTTCAGGTCCCGTCGGCCAGACAATGTCAGCTGGTGGGCCCTCGGGGAAGGGCCTTTTCTGTGGTGGCTCCGATGTGGTGGAATCAACTTCTCCCCGAGATTCGAACTACTTCCACCTTGCCGGCCTTCAAGAAAGCCATTAAAACTCTCCTGTTCCGGCAGGCCTGGGGTTGATGTCCCCGGGGGGGCCGGGATACGATTGGGACATGCTGTGTGAATGCACTCATTTTTATTGTTATATTTATTATTTTAATTTTGTGCGCCGCCCTGAGTCCCTAGGGATTGGGCGGCATATAAATTTTATTAATAAATAAATAAATAAATATAATTATTTCTTGGATGTATTGTTTCGGGAGGAAAAAACCCCAAAGTTTTTAGAAACAAAGGTTTATAGTACAATTCTATGCATATTGATTTGTCCTATAGATTTTAGTGGAATTTATTTCCATATTAATATATGAGTGCATTTTCAAAGGTATTTATTTGTGTTTTTATTTATTTCTCCATTTATATTGTGCTTTTTTTCATGAGACTAAATGGCTTACACTTAAAAGGCTAAGATCTGTTCTGAGGGATAATTCCCATTTTTTGAGTGATTCATAAAGTTTTTTGATTCTGGACTCTTTATAGACCTGTAAACATGCTATTGTTTTAATTATTCATTGACGCATGGTATGTTTGCTTCTTTAGGCAGATTAAACAAGAGATGGATCAGTGTAAAGATGAGTTAATAGACATGGAGAAAGAATTAGTGCATTTAAGAAGAGATGGTCATAGTAAAGCAATGCAAGTGAGCCAACTGGAAATTACTTTACAACAGAGAACCTCAGAATTTAATAAAAAGACACACCAAGGCAAGCTCTTCATTATGTTTTCTGAGTGATACCTTTATCATGCTATATTGAAATGAATGGGAGAAATTTCTAGAAAATTATTTTGAGAATGGGATAACAACGTTAAATAAGAATACGGTATTGACTGGCTGTACTGACTTTAATTAACTATAATTTATATATTAATTAGACTATATCAGAAAAAACATTTTTGGTATTTTTTTATTCTTGTATTTCCCCAAAAATGCCTTATTCAGTCTTAAATTAATGACTATTATTTTTAGATTCAGATGAACCATAACCATTTATTTAATAATTTCTCCATGAATAATAAAATACGAATTAATTTAAATATGATTTTATTCAGTGGCATATAACTTTCTATAAATCACAACATTGAGTTTTGATGGTTTTTTTCAGTAAGTTATATATGGGAAAAAGCAAGGTGATGTTGAGTAAGATTGAAAGAGGGAATGGGGATTTTTGTTTAATTTTGCCATGATTCCAAATTGGTTCATGCACTTACATGCAGCCAACTGTGGTTTGCCTTGAAGGGCCGTGACTATTTATTCTAATAGCTTTCTGTCAAGGCCGCTTAGCCAAGGACTCTGCCTTACATGGGATGAAATCAATCTAGCAGGCAGCTCTTCTGTTCTCAAAGAAGCTGGCTGAAAAAGGTCTGTCTCAAAATGGATCCTGACAAAACTTTTTTAGCCAGCCCCCCAGGAACCAGAGGGAGTCCTGCAGTTATGGTGTGTGATCTTTCCCGTTGACTTTCAAAGGAAGCCAGCAGGTAAGATTGTAAATGGTGATCACATGATCACAGAGGGCTTGGCAATCTGTCTAAAGTGCAAATGGGTTGCCTAGAACCCATATTGTAATCATGTGACTAAAGTGTGCCACAACAGCTGTAATTTCAAATACCGGCCATAAGTCCCTTTATTCAGTGCCATAATTTTGAACAGTTGCTGAACAAATGGTTGTTAAGTGAAGATTACCGGTATATATGAAGAAAGAGTGAAAGAAAAGGAAGGGGAAGACTGGGAAAGATGTTGCTAGATTCTGAAGATCAGAAATTTAAAGACAAAAAGTATATAAAGCTATGTATAGCAGGGTGGAAGCAGAGATGATTTGCTAGAACTGAAGTATGGGAAGGTATAATAAATAGTGTTGCTGGAATTTAGTTTTGATTATGTTTCCTTTTCTTTTTATCTCATGGTTTTGATGCCTATGATTATTATCTCTTATCTCTTTTTCTGTGCTCTGTAAACCATTGCTTACCCCATATGGAATAACATGAAGGGTATGTATGCATGTATGTAAGACTAGGAAAGGAATGTATTTTGGGTGGCTACATGCATGGAATTCAGGAATGTGAATTCTTGACAGCAGGGATAGCATAAGAATTACTGAATAGAAGCTCAGAAAAGGAAAAGAGACAGCTTAGATTTGGTGGCTTTCAGTGAATTCTTCCCCTTATGTCAGTAAAGATAAAACTCACATTTTAGAATTATTAGACTTCTCGTCCTTTTTTTGGATATCTAAGTGGAATCTGTGGCCCAAAGTACTTGTTACTAGGTTAGCCAAAGAGAGACTGCCACAGTTACACATGACTGGCAACATCCATATTTGTTGCATGCAGACATCCTTAAAGACTATATGAGAACTTTTGAATGCATCATGCATGCACATATGCGTGCGCGCGCACACACACACGCCCACATAGAGTCATCTTAACTGGCTTGCAGTTTGATTCTAAGTAGAATTAAACTTTTAATTTTAAACATGAAGCTATACTTCATAGAGAGAATGGAAATAAGGTATTTCCAATGATTATAATATGGCCAAAGAATATTCTTTCCAGAGTCCCTTTCTTGGAACCTAGTCTATTAGATTTAGGGATAGGCAAACAGTTTAGTTACTTACAAATAATGTATTTTACTTTCGCTTTTCTTAAAAAGTATTTTATGGTGATTGCTGATATTTAACTTGTTCTTCATCTTGGAATAGCCTGAAGGATAGGGTAAATCTTGTGTACAAATGCATACGTTATTTCGCTAATCATTCTTGATTGCTTTTTTTTTCTATTTGGACAAAAGTGAAGGAATTAGAAGATAAGCTGCTTATAAGTGAGACCCAGCAAAACGATTCCATACAGAAAATAGAATCTCTAGAAACTGACCTGAAAAATACCACTGGGGAGTTAAAAACTACTTTGAGACAACTGCAAGACTTTCGGGATACATTACAGAATGCACAGATATCCCTACAGGAGAAGTGTACTACTATCCATGACTTAACAGATGAATTAAGGTGCGTTAATAAACATTACAGAAGTAGGATCAGTGTGACAAACTAGTAGTTTCAGCAGGTGGCATACCTACTCAAGCTTGTCTGTGGTTAAAAACCTAGCATGGTTGGCTCTGGTTAGCATTTGAATGGGAGACTTCAAGGGAATTGGCTATATGCTCATGTACAACAGACATCAATGAAGAAGACGGTGGCAAATTATTTTTGTGCTTCTGCCCAAAAAATCTTCAGGGATATTTTACCACAGCTGCCAGAATTTGACCTCAAATCAAGAGAGTCTTTATTTTTCATCGTTACAAATAGATTAGAATTCTTGTTTCAAAATTTATTGCCAGCATTTTTTACTTGAAAAACACTTTGAATTTACTTTTATTTATTAACAATGAAATGCTAACATAACTTGGGTTTTGAATGATATAGTTGCCTTAAAATCACTGCATTGCTAAATTTTGAAGCAAAATGGCTTTAACTGTCCTTCAAGCTATTTCCCAAAAGTAGAGTACAAAGCTAGATATGAAATTAAGACAATAAAATACAGTTATTATCTACTCATAAAACAAATAAACAAAATAGTATATAATATATCAACTAATCGTGCCTTATTTTGACGCATAGAGAGCAACAGACAAAAGCCTGTTAGATGTATAACTTAGCTGAGACACAAATGCTTAACAAAAAGAAAAGCAAAAATATGCTTTTAATCTTTAGAAATAATAGACTCAGTCCGTGAGTCGCTAGATCAGTGGTTCTCAACCTTTTTAATGCCGCGACCCCCAACTGGTCGTAAGTCGACTATCCAACCGGTCGTAAGTCGAGGACTACCCAACCGGTCGTAAGTCGAGGACTACCCAATTGGTCGTAAGTCGAGGACTTTCCCTGCCCGGGAGCGCTGCGCATGCGTGGTGCTGCCCCCTGCGCCGGCCGAAGCGTAGCAGAATGAGACTTGGTGGGCTCAGCAGGGCAGAGACAGCTTGGACAATTCCTATTGGCTTTTGAAAGCCAATAAAATTAGACTATTCAAGAGAGTCTATTCCAGTGGTTCTCAACCTGTGGGTCGGGACCCCATTTGGGGTTGAACGACCATTTCACGGGGGTCGCCAAACAAGGCTGTCCGCCATTTTTTTCCCCTTTTCTTTGGCCACGCCCCTGGCACCCGGTGATGTATAAGTGGTTGGGGGTCACCACAACATGGGGAACTGTATTATGGGGTCGCGGCATTAGAAAGGTTGAGAACCACTGGTGTATTCTATTGGCTTTCGAAAGCCAATAGAATAAAAGGGAGTAGCACAGCTAAGGAAAAGGGGAACAAGGCGGACTACGTTGTTTGGCGACCCCCGTGAAATGGTCGTTCGACCCCAAATGGGGTCCCAACCCACAGGTTGAGAACCGCTGCGCTAGATGATAATTTACAAAGTGAATAGTTCATGTGTAGAATCAGAATACTAAATTGTTGTATTTAATTCCTTCTCAGCATTTTGTAAATACCAACAGAAGGGAGCATATGTAACTTTTGTACTTTTTAAGTACTAAATATTACATTGTTGAAAATACATATGAGTGACGTGGTGGCCCAGGGGTAAAGACGCTCACCTCCCACTCAGGAGGTTGAGACTTCAGTCCTAGATAGAGGCAGATATTTCTCTCCTGGGGTGCAAAGAAAAAATATATGTTGCTAACTTCAGCCAGTAAATGCTCAGCTCCATCCATTTGCTCCAACTCTACCCTAATAGGGAATATAGGGTCATTTAAAAGGGAGTAGACTGTTGAAAATATGTATGTGCAATCTTAAATGCATATTTAAATTCATTTTCTAGTATCTCTAGGGAAAAAAATCATATTTGTATTTATTAATCTCTCATATTAAATATTAACAATTTAGTAAGATTAATATTAATTATATTAATCCAAAATTCAATGTCAAGTGATCAAAACTATGCTACAGTTTCTGCCTATAGATTTGGCTGTGTTTTTTTCCTTAGTTTTCATTAGTAACACAGACTGAATGAGTTACTTCTAAATAAACATAGAATCAGGGTGTAGAAGAATTAGATGAGGATAATTAGAATTTAACCTCCCTAATACAGAAAATATTTCTCATTTTCAAATGAAAATTGCAGAGAATGCAAGGATGAACTTGAAGAGAAAAAGGAAGAACTTCTCGACATGGAAAAGGTGCTGAAAGAAAGAAATTGGGATTTGAAACAAAGAGCAGCTCAGGTTAGAAGAATAATCTGTATATTTAATAAGCTTTCAAGAACTATTGGGGCCTTATTAGTAAATATATTTGGGATGTATATTTTCATTAATGCTCCACAATTTTAGTGTGTACAGGTAATTCTCAGCTTATAACCCTTTAATGGTGGTTTGAAATTACAACAGCTTTGCAAAAAGCGATTTACGATCCATCCTGAAATTATGATTGTTGCACCATCCTTGTGATCACAATTTGGGGGTTGGCAGTCGGCTCACATTTACAATAGTTGCAGTGTCTTGCAGTCATGTGGTCACAATTTGCAGCCTTCCAGCTGGCTTCCACAAAGTCAACTGAGCCAGAACCACTTAACAACCCTGTGATTTGCTTAGCAGTTGTAGTAAAGTGATCATAAAATTGGTTCCTGTCATATCATGACTCACTTAACGACAGCATAATCAAAATTTCAGTCCCAATAGTGGGTCATGAGTTGAAGACTACCTATAACGTTTGCTTTTGTTTTGATATTTTGTCTTTCCTTTTTTAAAAGGTTACACAGTTGGATATGTCAATTCGTGAATACAGGGGAGAAATGGAACAAAAAATAATTTCACTGCAAGGTAGCTTGGAAAAAGCAGAGTTGCAGATAAAGGATTATAATAAACAGGTACTGTTATTGATCAAATTCTCTTTAAAACAATTGCTTCTAGTTGCTCACTTTCCACAAATGTCTGCTGTGAAGGAGTTTTAACTCCCCAAATGGTTAATCTCTTTATAACTTACTTGCTTATGTTTTGCTATCAGATTGAGAGTTTGGCAAGCAAGGTACAGTGCTCAAAAGAAGAACTTCAGGAAAAAGAGTTTAATATTCTCCAACAACATCAAGACATAAATCATCTTAGAAAAGAGAATGAACAAAAGCAGCAAAGAATAACAGATACTGAGAAGGTAAGTTTCTCTTATTCTTTTCTCTGCTTTTGTTTCGATACTCCAGGTTTCTAATCCGACCAGTTACTTATATAATCAATAAACATATGATAAGGGGATAACACTGCCTTTTATAAAAGAGACTATTGTCTATTTCTGAAGTATGTGCCAATGAACTCATTGAAGCTTCCTCAAATAAAGCTTGTTTACTTTTCCATGAGAATATGTCAGTATTTTTGCATTTAATTTTCTGGTTTTACTGTTTTTTTTTTTTCTTTCTCTTTAGACAAGCTTTGTATGCGTATCTGCCAACAAAGAATACTGCTCCATATGGCTGATGATTTTAACCTATTCTAGAACTCTTGTTTTTCAGACAACAGATATGATTTTAGGGCAGTGTTTCCCAAACTTGACAATTTTAAGGCATGTGGACTTCAACTCCCAGAATTCCACAGCCAGCGTTGCTGGCTGTGGAATTCTGGGAGTTGAAGTCCTCATGCCTTAAAATTGTCAAGTTTGGGAAACACTGTTTTAGGGTAACAAATAGAACTACTAAAGTGAAAAGAACAGGGAGACAAAAGATTCCTAGTTACAGTAGGTTAAAAACACTTTTCTATTTTTAGAACCTGAAAGATCAAGAAAGTTGTATCGCAGAACAGTATAAAGAAATACTTGATTTGGGGCAACAGTTGAGACTGGAACGTGAAGCAATGAAACAAGTTCATGTGGATCTGTTAGAGAGTCGCCGCCAACAGGCTCAAGCTCAGAGAGATGTGGACAGGCTCTCTCTTGAACTGGAAGAAGTGAACCATATCTCACATGAAAAAGTAACCAATTTTCCGTATTCCTTTTTTGAGAAATCAGTTCTCTCAATGCAAGACTCTTTCCAGGGTCAGTTCAATGTGTAGAGCGCGGTTCAGAAGCACAGTTTTAAATGGGGAAATACAAAAGGTTAAAGCTAACCCATAATGCCAGGTCAGTTTGAAAATAATGTAAAACAGGTATTTCAGACCTCAGGTGAGAATACCTTTTCTCAAGCTTGTGGAGAAAACCTGAAAAAGGCCTGGTTATTTCACTGAATAACAGAGAAGTGCTACCTTCATGTGACTTCCAAAGAATTTCTTCTTTTCTATTTTAAAAGCATGCATCTTGCCTGACCCTGGTGCCAGGCCCTGCAATTTTTTTGCCCTTTTATAAAATTGTTGCAGAGTACATTAGACCTTGGGGTAGGGTAAGGGGGTGAGATTTATGTCCTCATTTTCATGAAAACTTCACTCCAGGATGGTCCTCCCTGTGAATTTGTTTCCACTTTTATAAATCATAATAGTCTAAAAAGACGATCAACTACAGTGTGTATAAGAAATATTTTGATGTCTTGAAAAAATAAAAAATATAATTTTTAGCATTTTGCTCAAATAGCCTATGCTATTTCTTGCAAAATATCTATTTATGAGGATGTTTGGAGAAATTTTAAGTCATTATACAATTGAAATGGGATCTGCCTGGAAAGATGACAGGCCACTATTATTGTTCTCCATAGGTCTTTCCTATAACCAATTGGGCACTGTGTTCCTGGATTTGTATGCCTATTGTTTATGTGGTTATTGATAATGTCACTAATTGCTGTAGGATGTCATTTCTTTAACTCCTTTTTTGCTACTCCCTAGAAATTACATCACTAACTTTTAGTGTCAAAACTTTCCAAGAAACAACAGTATTTCCCACTGAAATAGGAAAGACCCCCCCCCCCAAAGACCTTACTGCTTTTAAAACGTATGGAAATCTCAGATCCACCAGTTTTGTGACACCTTTCCCTTGGTGGCTGTTGGCCAAACAAAAAATATAAAATATATAAACAATATTTTAAAAGGCCCATGACACTAACACAAAATGTCTCAAAAATGGCCTTAGATGTGTTTTCTTGATTTGTTTGAGAAAATTAGTAGTAATGTTCTATATAAACAAACTTGAGATACTTTGATATTGCTTTAAATATTCTTGTTTTTAATAATGTTAATTTAATATATTTTTTAATATTTTTAAGAAAATAATATGGCAAGATATATTGATTTTGTGTTGGGGGGGCATAATTCCCTTTCAGGAAACCCGTATAAATAATTTGGCAGAACAACTGGGAGCAGCTCAGGTGCGAGAAACTGAATTAGAAGCAAGGATGCAAGCTGAGATTAAAACGCTCACTGCAGAAATACATTTGTTAAAGCAGTCTTCTTTATCAGAGGTGAAAACAGTATTGCTCTTTCCCATTTATTTTGTATTAGATATGAGAGAATGAGAAACACTATGTGTGTTTAGCTCTAAGAACTGGCTCTATGTTTCCTTTTTTTACCTTCAAATGGTATTACCGAGTATGTATGAAATAATTTTAGAGCAGTCGTTCTATGAATGAACATTGGTAAACTATTTAAGCACCATGGATATGCATAATACCAACAGCTACTATCCCATGGCATACCAGACGATGAAATAATTTGCTGCTATAGTTGAGGATCACTCTCTTTGTTAATTTTTTTGTTAAGATTTAATAGTTTAGACTGCATCATATATGGATGTTTGCTAGCTACTGGAAACCATAAAATGAGAATGAACAAGACATCCATTTTTAAAAATTAAATTTATTTGTTGAAATAATAAAGCCAGAAGGGAGCCAGTCTGGTCTAGTGGTTAAGGCACCAGGATAGAAACTAGGATACTGTGAGTTAGTAGCTCGCCTTAAGCATAAAAATTGTCTGGGTGACCTTGGGCCAGCCACTCTCTCACTCAGCCCCTCTCATCTCACAGGATTGTTGTTATGGGAAAATAGAAGGAAAAAGTATACTGCCTTGAGCAATTTATAAAAATAATAAAGATGGGATAAAAAACTACTTAAAAATGCTCAATACAGTGAGGATCTTCACTGATCTAGTGTGAATTTAACAGTAATTAAGACTATTTGCAATCTTTTAGTTATTTTAAAACATTTAAAAAGTGAAATACAAACAACATCACCAATAAAATACAGTAGTGATATGATTAATATTATATTATAGTGATTAAAAGAAATTAAACCTAATGGGAAAATTGTATAAAAATGTATGTATCTACTTAGTTATCAGTACTGAATTAGTTGCTTCCTTAAGTTTGTCACGTAGAACTGTATAGTTTCATCTTCTCATTTTTAGAATATAAAGACTTTTCAAAAAGTCCATTCCTGAATATCAGGAGAACAAGTTCCTTTCCACTGATGTAAGATTATCCTCTTTGCTGGGTGCTAGGCATGGTAGAGCCAAACATGTTCATAAAATGAAAACTTCAAATTGACCTGCTAGTTGAACTGATAAGATTTGCATTAGTTTTGAAATATTGAAAAATTGTATTTGAAATACATTTTGTCTTCAGAAAATTTCCCATGAAGAAGAACAGGCAAAATGGCAGCAGTCGCTATCTAAATCTCATCACGTTAATGGGCAACTACAGCAGATCAAAATGGAACTGGATGATGCTCAAGACACTGTTTATAATCTGCAGCAACAGCTTCAGTCCAGAGATGATGCGATTCAAGCAGCAAATGAAAAATTGCTTCTTAAAGTAAGTTAAGAAAATTAAGAAAGGAATATTTGTATAAGAAATAGGGTTGTCATCTGAAATCATTTTATAGGTCCTCGCAGTACATGTCTGTTAACACTGAAATCTATACTTTGGATGGTACTCATTCACAGCTAGTGTGAAAACCTTGGATTAAGATGGTGTGGAAGGAAAAAATAAATATTTGCAAAATTGTAAGTTATTGTTGAAGGAGATGGTTGATAGTGTTGATCCTTATGAACTATGTTTTGGGTGGTTATTTTGGGAGGCCAAACTTAGCTGAGATCATGATATGAATGAAATCTTCATTTAGGGAATTTAATGGTAAAAGACAAGTTGCAAAGACAACATATGGCTTGCTTCCTTCAGCTTGCTATTTTTAAATAAACACATGCTGTACATACATATATACATGGATTTTGAACCACTGATCTTTAAGGGAATAATCAAGCCATGTATGATGTTCATAACTTTTTTATTAATCAGAAATACTATCAATATTTTTATTAAACATAAGTAGCTTTTGTTCAGAAACAGATGATCTCTAATCACTTAATTTCTACAAAGCTTTAAATTTGTGTTGCACTATAGGAATCTGAGCTTACAAGATTACAAACCAGAATTGCAGCTCATGAAAGAACAGGAAGCATCAAGCAACTAATAGAACATCATTGGTTTGATGATCAAGAACTTGGCTTTGCCAAGCATTCTACTCGTAGAAAACTATGGCGCTCAACAAGCACCAGTAATCTAAATATTAAGGGCAATGAAAACTTACTAAGTCAAAATCAGACAGTTACACTGCACTCTTCAGTGAGTTCTGAAATGTCAAAAAATATATCTCATGCTTCACCAAAGAGTTTGAATGAGTCTTCCTTTGATCCTTTGACATACGGTATAGACGAAGAGGTACCTTGTAGCAGTAATGACTTTCAAACACTGAGTGGCATGCTAAAATATATCAGCAAGGAAATAAAGGATTCTGAAAATTCTTCACTATAATCTTTATCAGCTGTAAAGAAAAATCAAGTACGTATTTCTATATCTAATATTTCTTAGGTAAATGGAGTACAATATACCTTGTCACCGGAGTAACTTTTCATGCAAATATTGTTACCTTTTTAATCTAAACAGAGTAATTACTAAGATTATTAAATTAACTGAAGTTAAATCAACTGTCAAAGCAAGAACACCCAATGTTAGCATGACATCAACTATTTGCTCCCCAAAAAAACAATTGCAGTACACAAAAATAAAATATTGAGTGGAAAAAAAAATCTAAAATAGAGCTGTCATATTTCTAGCACGCTGAAGTCCTTAATGTTTTATAGATAGTCCTCGACTTACGACCACAATGGAGCCCAAAATTTTTATTGCTAAGTGAAACCTTTGTTAAATGAATGTTGCCACTTTATGGCCTTTTGTGCCATAATTGTTAAGTGAATCACTGCAGTTGTTCAGACGGGCCCGGACATGTACTGGCTTAAGCAGGGGGACACATCTGGCACTGCAGGATCTGAGTCCCTGGCGGCGGCGTGTGTTACTGATGGTTGCCTTTGTTACATTGGTCCCAGCTCTCTGCAGGTCATTCACTAGGTCCCCCCGTGTGGTTCTGGGATTTTTGCTCACCGTTCTTGTGATCATGTTGACCTCACAGGGTGAGATCTTGCGTGGAGCCCCAGATCGAGGGAGATTATCAGTGGTCTTATATGTCTTCCATTTTCTAATTATTGCTCCCACAGTTGATTTCTTCACACCAAGCTGCTTGCTTATTGCAGATTCAGTCTTCCCAGCCTGGTGCAGGTCTACAATTTTGTTTCTGGTGTCCTTCGACAGCTCTTTGCTCTTCACCATAGTGGAGTTTGGAGTGTGACTGTTTGAGGTTGTGGACAGGTGTCTTTTATACCGATAACAAGTTCAAACAGATGCCATTAATACAGGTAATGAGTGGAGGACAGAGGAGTCTCTTAAAGAAGAAGTTACAGGTCTGTGAGAGCCAGAAATCTTGCTTGTTTGTAGGTGACCACATACTTATTTTCCACCATAATTTGCAAATAAATTCTTTCCAAATCAAACAATGTGATTGTCTGGATTTGTTTTCTCAATTTGTCTCTCATAGTTAAGGTCTATCTATGATGACAATTACAGGCCTCTCTCATCTTTTTAAGTGGGAGAACTTGCACAATTGATGGCTGACTAAATACTTTTTTGCCCCACTGTATTTTTATGAGTATAAATTTCTGGAGGTTAGAAACCATAGAAATGATGGGTAAAGGATGGAACCTTGATTCTATTTTGCAGTGGACTTTTTATGTTTGGTGGTGATATGCTGTAATGCCTTTCATATCTGACTCACTAGAGATGTTTTTATCAATGAGGAGATTGGTATTGTAGCCCTCGGTGGTCCTCATGTGGTTCTCGTGACATTTTGAGTTTGAAATCCTTATATGGTCTTGTAGAATCCTATACAGAAAGAGATATTGCTTATTATCTCATTCACGGCTAGCAAAAGACAATCATGCCATACGACTGCAGTACAGTACATATAAATATGTCAAAAGATTGGATTTCATTTAAATTCATTTGTAAATTCTGAGCTTCTGAGCTCTTTTGATTTTAGAGATAATACTTTTAAATATGTACAAACAACATCTTCTAAAAACTCTGAAACCAGAGGTATTGCTGAAGTAAGATTTTCATCTAGGAAGATTGTATACTGCATAGTGCTTCCTTTAACAAGAACATGAGGTCTGAGTGAACTTCATTATAAAGTATTCATTTTAACCTAAATATGTTTATTTCAGGAAGAAAGTTTCTGAAGAAATAGTGTGCTGGCATGCAATTGACCACAGATGGATTTATGGGCACAGCATGGAGTTCATAAGAACATTTTCTAGAAACTACAAATATAGTTATTTTTAGTAACTATCCATAGAAAATTATTCTCTGTGCTACTTTTTCAGTATTTTTATTTCTTAAACTAGTACAATAATGTTCTTTTGTTATATTTACTATTAAAGAGAAATCCATAAAACAAATGTTAAAGAAAGTTTTTCATTAAACTTTAAAATTTCACCAAACACATAATTTATAACCAAACAGATCATATAATACTTTCCTCTACATTAAAAAACTGCTACTCATAATGATAAATGGGACTGTATGTATACAATGCATGGATTCTGAATGGAAGTTTATAGCCATTTGCATTTGTTTGCACATTAAAACCTATACACCATTAGCTCATACACTATTGCATGACCGTGATCAAAAGAATGACACACACACACACACCTGCCAGGATCATTCATATCGATGGAGAAAAGTAAACAAGGATAATTTCCTGTTTTAAGTGGCCATTAAGTCTCCCAGTTCATTCCACAATTATGAAACATCTTGATTTTTTCCTGCATGTATTTATTTTAGATTCTATCTCTTGATGATGCATGGATTTGATGCAATGGAAAGAACCTGGAAAATAGTATTTTGTATGCAATTCCCATAATTAAAAAAAAAACCTGCACGAATGCCTGTTCAGAAGTTTGTAAAGATGAGTTATTTCTATCTGACAGTACCTACAACTTTTCATGAATAAGATGGACATTTCTGACAGCAGTGGTGTGCTTTCAAAATTCTAAATGTTCTTCAGATAAAAATTTGGGGACTCCTGAAATAATGTGTAATTTTCATGTAAACCATGATGTTCTGCATTGAATGTTACATCACAACAACTGAAGCCATAAGAGATCTAAGAGTCACTGTGGTGTAGTGGCTATGGTGTTGGACTAGAACTACAGAGATCTGGGTTCAAATCTACCCTTAGACGCAATAGTTTAGCATAGAATGTTTAAGCCAGCTACTTTTTTCCAGTTCAGCTTATCTCATATATTTTGGGGAATAAATGAGAGAATGTCTTTTGACCTTAAGAAAAGGCATGAAATAAACATTATACTAATTGGGATTATGAGGAAAGTTAAGACTTTCTCTTATAAAAAGCTGTATGTACATCAGGAGTCCCCTGGCCATGGCCAAGTACTGGGCCGTAGCCCGTTGTAACTGGGCTGCAAAAGTGGTAGACGATTGTGCGCACAGCTCCACTTGCACGAGCAACAGGCAAGCGCACATGCATGTGCAGCTCCATTTGTGTGAGTGTACAGCGTGCATGTAAGAAACCATCACCTGTCCCCCCCCTGCTGGTCCACAAAACTGGAAAGGTTGGAGAACACTGCTGTACCTGGTGCAGTGTTATATCTTACAGCTGCAGCTAAGAAAGTTATTTCTAGTTACCTTTTAAATATTTTTTTTCCTTGGTGCACTGAAGCAATACCAAAAACTCTAGTATATATGTTGGGTTCTTGCCAATCAATGGGAAGGTATAATAGCTATTAGAGTTCTACAAAAAAGCAACCTATTTTCTGAGTGACTCTAAATTACTTATAAAAGAAATTGCACCAAGTGCAGTAACATATAATAGAAAATAACATTCAATTGCATTATTAAGAGTATGACACCCTTATTTTATTCTTGAAGTCCGTCAAGCTGTCATATAAGCTCCATCTCAACAGCATAGTGCAGTTTAATCTGCATCTCTCTATGTATTATGTATCACCAAAAAGCTTTCCTATAAACTTTAAATGGGCAAAACGGTGCGTTACAGGGCAAAACCTGAGGAGGAATATGACTATTTGCGTGTGTATGTGTGTGACAGAAAAGGAAAAGCACATCAAAACTAGCAGGTATTAAACCCCACACGCACTCGCACTGATGATATTATCTAGTTGGCTAAGGAAACATCTGCAAACAAACGACTCAATTCAGAAAGCATCAAGAGCTTAAAAATGCCGGTAGTCAAGATTCTTACAAGCCACGAGCAATACAATGTCACTGCGCATGCGTAATACTCCTATACCCGGTGAAGTCCACGTCTGGGGAATTCACGCGCGGCTAAACGTTACCTCAGAACAACAAAAATGAAAGAGAAACTGAGCGTTCGCGGACCACGCGCCACACCTAAAAAAAAAAAAAAACCCTCGCGCTGAAGTATTGCCTGCCCGTTAAAAAAAAGGCGAACGTTCTCGTTTCCGTTCTAAGCCGGAAGCGGAACTAAGGTGGGCCACGAGGAAGCGCTTCCGGTGGAAGTGGCGTGCGCCGCCACCGCCGCCGCCGCCTGGGTTGGTCGTCTGTCGCAAGTTCTCTCCTTGTTCTTGCCGCTGCGTTGCGTGTCTGGCGAAGGAGTCCAAAGAGACGGGTTGCCGGCTCTGCGTGACCGGGGGAGGTTCGTCGACGAGGCGGGGCCAGGAGGTGTTTCCTTGCGTTCCGGTAGCGGCAGCGACAGCAGCAGAAGAGCCCGGAGGGATGTGGCGGAGGCAGCGCTGATGGTTGTCGTCGCTGTGACTCGGACACTCGATAAGGGGTTTGGCGGCGCCTTCCGCCCGGGCTCAAGGAACGCTTTCTGGCCGCACAGGGCGGCGCGGAGGGCGACCCTCCTGCATCGCTGCGGCCGTCACGCCTTCCCGGCGTCTTGTGGCTTCCCGTTTCCTTTCCTGGGTCATCCCGGCCGCCTCCCGAATCTGGTCAAGTCGGTGTTTATTTACCGAGTCCACCCGATCGATCCAGAATGGCTTCTTCTTCCGGCAACGACGACGATTTGACCATCCCACGGGCGGCGATCAATAAGATGATCAAGGAGACGCTGCCGAACGTGCGAGTGGCCAACGATGCCCGGGAGCTGGTTGTGAACTGCTGCACCGAGTTCATCCACCTCATCTCCTCCGAGGCTAACGAGATCTGCAACAAGTCGGAGAAGAAAACCATCTCTCCGGAGCATGTTATCCAAGGCAAGAACCTTCGCCTGGCCTGCTTGTTCACACACCCTGAAACTCCTCCCAGCCTTGATCTTTAAGAGGATATTTTGTTATGATCTTAGAATCCATTAAGCTACAACTTTTAATACACCGAAAGTATGCCCTTCATCTCCCCATCCTTTTTCCCATTAGCCCTTATAATTTTTAATACACTGAAAGTATGCCC